GATTTTATTAAAATAAAGACATTTGTTCTATTACTTTATGGTTCTAGCTTTACCTGCTTATCACAAGGCTGAAAGAGAAGGTAGGGGCAAAATGTTTGAATCTACTTTCAGATAATAGTTTATGAGTAAAGTTCTACATTATAAATCTTGTATGTATCCAGTACTAAATAGTTGGGTTTAAATGTAGTAATTCTTGCCCAGTGTCCTACCCTGAAGAAAGATGTAGGTTGGCTGCTGAAGTTCATTTCTTAAACTATAATATCAATGAAGTTTCATTGCCTGGCTTTATTGCCTTTTCAGGAATGTGATATTCAGGGCTTATTCCACTATATGCACCAGTGAGTCTTCTTTGATCCTAAGACCACCACTGAAGTTATTTAGGTTCTTTGGACAAACATGATAAACTTCTTCAGATACTTTTTTTTTCCTTTGGCAGGAAGGTGTCTTGCTGCAGGTAACTAATGAAGAAGTGGTCAACCACAGAGTCTTCAAGAAATAAGAAATTCTGTACCATCTGAAAGTAGTTCTTGTTGGTGCCTTCATTTAAAAAACACTCTTTAAAGATAAAAGGGAAATGTTTTCTGATAAAACAAATTTCATTTAGTTCAGGTTCTTGATATAAAACAATTACAAAATGAGTGTTGTTTGTAAAACAGTAACATCAAATCAGCTAGAGATGTATCATGTTTTAAGCTAGGTTTTGTGAGTAGATACATTAAAATTCTATTTTAAATATAAAGTTTATAAAATAAATACTTTTGTATCTAAATACTTGGTGTAATGTTTACACATAATGTGTCAATCTTGTTCTATGAACATACAGTTGTCTAAAAGATTGCTATCCCCTAAATTTTTAAAGCAATTCACAAAGCTATGCATATTTACATTCTTTCAATATTAACAGACAAATGAGAAGAAGAGCATTGTGGACATTATTGGCTGTCCCTAATAAAATGCTATTCTTTATGCACTGTATATTCAGCGTTTGAATACTACTGCAGTTTACTGACTTTACCCTGTATGTTTAACATTGCTGGTGATGTTTTGAAATCATGAATTTTAAGTTAACCAGCTAGAGTGGTCCAAAGTAACTGGCTATGCAAAGCACTGAAACTTAAAATTTCTCGTACTAGTTTGTCAAATGTCAATTAGTTTTTTTGCATTTTACACTTAGTAGATGGATATCAGTGGTCATCTTTCTAAAGGGTTAAACTTGGATAAAAATTTAAGTCTTTCCTGTTCAGCCATTTACCTGAAATCAAACCAGAAAAATATCAAGGGCAAAGTTAACTGACTTTTTTCAATTAGTTTATTTTGATAATAGATATCTCACAGGTAAGTCAAACTAATGGTTATGAGCCATATTTTCTGTTTGAAATAGTAGCTGCATCTGTCACTTGCATGAATGCTTCAAAGTTAATTTTGAAGGTTTAAAAATGGCACAAAAAAGTTGAACTCTCAAGAAGTAAATAAGCTGATAATGTACCACTTCAAATACCTAACTCAAACTAGCAAGGTCAAGGGAATGTTACAAATAATAGGGAAAGATTGGGTAATGCACAATACGCTGAAATGAACTGGTTTATGAAAATAAGGGTTTACTAACAATGCAGGTAATGTTGGATATTAGACATCTTCCTGTGTGTGTATTAATCTTTTTCATTAGAAATTGAATTTAAGGTATTTATAACCTAAGGCACTAAAAGAACAACACCTACTTGTGTGTATTATTGCTATCATTACTTCAATATAAAAGGCACTTCAGAGCAACACACTCTTCAGCATCTGGAACTTGCATGATTCTGGCTAAAAGCTCAAGGTTGCAGCCACAAAAAAACTTGGTTGGGGTTGGAAAGTAACATTCAAGATGATAAACTTAACAGGGGTGGCTGCTACTTCCCTCAGTGAATGATTCAAGAGACTAAGGAAAAATTGCCAAACATGACCACACTTTGGAAGTCACAGTGTCTTGTATTCTAATAATCACGCAATGCGGTAGGGTTATACTCATTGACATACTTGGTTTTCAAAGCTGGCAACCACACTCGAGTGCTGTTCTTAGATTTTTGTGCGTTTCTATGAAACTGGGTTTTTCACCTGTAAAGTTTTTTTTTTCTTTTAGTACAAATGTGGTTGGTCTAAGAATCTAGTCTGGACCTACTAAATGTTTTAGGTATTGGGGGCTAATTTATGGAGGCTTTAAAAGAAGTCTGAGTTGATAACTAATAGTCGGAAGTTGAAAAGTATGGATTGGTTTCTCTTGTAGAAGGTAGAGACCATTAATCTCAGGATTCTTAAAGTATGTTCTCTGCTTAGTTTTATTCAGCCTCACAATCTTAAGGTTTGGAAGTGGTGTCTCCATGTGCTTGATGTGCCCCGTGCAATTTCAGTACTATTTAGTACTGCAACTAACAGTGGTTAGCTGCAGTTTTTTGTGGGCATGGGGTTAAGTCATACAAGGTATTGGGTTGCCAGAGAGCAAACTTTGAAGATGGTTAGGGATGGGGAAAAACTGATCCAGCTACTTAAAATATACGTATCAAAGGTATTGTGTTCTTGCATGGACCCATATGCTAACATTTTGTGTTCTGAAGGCCAGTGCTGAAATTGAACACACCTTTCAGAGGGACCTCAAGTATCCATATGGCTTTAAGTTACGTAGTGCTTGGAGCACACGTAATTGACTAATTTGGTTTCACCTGTGAAGATCAACTTGGCCATCTGTTCACTGCTACCAGAAGGAAATTTGAGGGTTTTAATAAATGCAATGTCCACATGGTGGGTTTTACCATATTTCACTTTAACTCCATTGTTCAATTGTAATTTCATGACATCAGTAGAATCACTTAATGAGTAGTGATTTTGTTTTTTACAGGTAAGGAAAGGATGTTTATATTGAGATCAGTCCAAATTGAGGTGGGAAGTTTGGGCCACCCGCTGAATTCAGGAGGGAAAAAGATGCATTCTAGAAAAGGTTTAAAAGGTCAAGTGCAGACTGGACTAAGACAAGGATAGACATGGATTTTACCTCTTTGCAATTCTTGAGGTTTTGCATCTAAGCCCTACGTCACATAATTTGAAAATGATTGGGGCACAGCACTGTTGTAGGCTGTTGACTGTTACCACTATTTAGCTAAGGTTCTGGCTAGCAATAAGTCAACTTTTAGGTTTCAGATTAATCTTTGAGTGTACACTAAAGCCCTGATGTGAGGTTTCTTCACTGTTAGAACTGCAGTATTGATAATCAGCTTCAGTTTGCATGCTTGAATCCAGTATGACCTATTTTGGTTAGCAAAACTAGTCTGGCTAGTTAGGTCTTGTGGAACCTTTGGTCACAGCACACCAGTTGCAGTCCCTTGGTATTTGTGGGCAGACTGGCTCTAGGATATCATGCAAGTAACAAAATCCACATATGCTCAAGTTCCTTATAACCGATGGTGCATTTGCACACAATCTATGCAACCCTCCTATACACTTCAAACCATCTCTAGATTATGATACCTAGTACAAGGGGTAAACTAGGGTAAACAGTTCCACTGTGTTCAGAGAAGAATAAAGCAAAAAGTGTTCATCACAGGTACAACCATCTTTTTTTTCCAAAAAAATATATTTGATCTGCAGTTAGTTGAATCCAGGGATACAGAGAGACAATAGTAAATAACCTTACAGACTTAAAATTTTATAGTTTGAATTTCAGTCATCATGAACTTATCTCAGTTTTCTCCTATATCTTTTTTCCTTGATAGTTTCAGGGGGTTGAAAAGAATACTGAGTCCAACAAGCAGGCACTCATGAATAGACATCAGTTTTGAAACTTAAAAGTAAATTGGTACTGTAGGATTTTACATTGTAGATTTAAAACAATTTTTGCTTTAATGTGCCCTGAATCAAGTTTAAGACATTTGGAAGAAAGCCTGCCAGTAGTGTAAGTGATCATTGAACAAAGCAGTGGTTGTGGAAGGGTAATGTTTCCATCTAGGAGTATTTGCTGGCAGAATCTAGGCCTTGGAAGAAATACATAAGCCCAACTTAAAATGGAAAAAGAACTTTTGTAGAAGTCCAGACTATATATATTGTGTACATATCTGTAACCCAAAGTAATACTTTTTATGACTTCTGATATTCTGCATTGTAAGTGATTCCTATGGCAGAAATATCTGAGGACCTTAATTCTGAAAATTTGGAAATTAAGCATTAGACTAATAGTGCATGTTAAAATCTTGGTGTTCCCCAAACTTGACAATCTGGGTGAGGTCATTGCTATCTTCAGGAAATTCACAATCTCCTGTTTATGTTCAAATAAACCGAAATGGTTTTCATCTTACATACCATTATTTCTAGGATTAACCACTAGTTGGTTTACTCTCAAATCCGTTTTTTGCCCTTCTTAGCCAACATTTTAAACATTTAAAAACCTTTCAGATGCTTCCACTATTTCTAGTTCTTTGGTTTTAAAATCTGTATGTTCATCTATTGACTTCCTCTTACTGTTGGGTTTTTTTTTTGTAAAGCTTGTAAATGTTTTGGTGAGATCTCAGTATTCTAGAATGTGAGGCCATCCCTATGGGCTGGCCAAGGACCCTATGGGTTTAATATATACAAGGAATTCTGTTTCTCTATGGAGGCAGCTCCATTATCTCTGGTTACAGGGGACAGAGAGGCCTCTGTTCTAAACTGCTGGTGACTGTAGGTCTTTGCCCTCAGGCCTAATGTGCTCTAATATTTTAAAGTTTTCTTTCTTTTTGGCACCCTGGCTCAGAGCTTGGCCATTTTTAGTTTTGATTGCATGTAGTCTGTGTGTTGTCTGAGGGGGATTGGCCATATCAGTTTGGCATACTTTGCTGACATCAGTCTGGCTTGAAGTTTGTTTAAATTAAAACAAATTTTCACTACAACTACCCTATTTGCAAGATGTTCACTCATATTCCTTAATGTAGATATTTTATAGGGAAAATAAGGTAAATTTGCTTGGAATTTTTATATAAAAGGAAAAAAAATACATTCAAATATAAAATTTCCACAGAACAAAAAGTTTATAAGTTAAATACTCATAAAAATTAAAATAGCTTTTGAAAAGCCACTATAGTACTAACAGGTGGAAATAAGGCTACTTTACATTTTAAGTCATAAAAAACACATCTTAAAACAATTAGATCCCCTATCCTCTTTCTGAAGTGACCATCTTATTTTTTTTTAAAGTTGCCAAAGTGACTGGTAAGTCATACCAGGTTTTCATATGACCCTATTCTTTAAACATAACTATGAATCTTCTATACAATGCAATACAAGGATTTTGTGAAAAGTTGTAAAAATTCCCCGTAAGTTACAATCTTGAAGTTCAAAATATTTGTCTATAAACTTCAAAAAGTAGCCTTAACTGAGTGCTTCAGGTAGCAGTACTTAAAAGATGTAACACTTGAAGCAATGTCAGTGGTTTGTGATCCAGGTAAGTTTCTGAACATTACTTTGTCCACATAATGGAGTCCATCTTCAGTTTCTTCCCTCACTTTTTCTCTTTCCCTTTTGGGTTTCCTTTTTGTGGCCTGAGGTCACCAGTTCTTTGGGTACAATCAAAACGCTTCCATCATGACTGCGCTGAAGAGCATACTCATTTGGATTGACTGGCCTACCTTGGTCATCTCTTAATCTACTAAAAACATCATGATAAAGGTCATGCAGTTTCTGTTTCATTAAGTTAATCGCTTTGTTACATTGGGCTCGCTCTCTCTTAAGGGTTTCCTTCTTTGCTTGCAAGTTACATACATCATCTTCTAGATTCAAAATTATGTCTAATTTGCGCTTACGACAGTTCTGAGCAGCTACTTTGTTTTTCCCTCTTCGTCGGATATCACGGATGAGTGAGACTTGTAAGTCTGTCAGATAGTACCTACTTAACATGCTGTTGAAAGAATCAACAGGCATACGTACAATTTCATCTACAGAAAAAGGGATATGCAGAGCTTTAGCACGCCGTTCATCACGGCTCAAGTTTCTATCTGTGTCATCAAGGTACCTACTCCTTATTTTCTGTGACTTCCCAGGCCATGAAAAGGATTCAGAAGTGGATTCTGGTGCACTTGGCTGTAAGTGGTAAGTGTGGTTATGAAATACGTGTTGAAATGTAAGATCCCCATGGAAACCAGAATCACTCCTGTGATCCATGTGACAAAGCTTACTGGGTTCTGCATAGTAGCCTCCTACAGCCCCTTCTAAGTCATGATGGGAAAGAGATTCAAGGTCACTACTATAACCTATAGCACCTTCTTCATCATACATAGAATGAGAAGAATTAGACTTGGTGACACAGATGCTATTGTGACTTGAATTTAAAGAAAGGCCAGAATCAGAATCTGGTTCTTCAAAAAGCTGAGGAACTTCCATTGGATTAAAATCTTCTGTGGTCAATGACATTAAGTTTATCTCATCAAATATATTTACATCAAGGTCATATAGTAGGTCTTGGCTTGTTAGATTCCGTGTCTGATTATCAACAGGTGGGGGAAATCCTGTCAAATTAGTTCCAGTAAGGGTTTGCTCAGGATTGACGGTATGAGAAGTTAACTGCAGAAATGGTTCTTGTGCCTGTGAAGTCCTTGTTACTGGATCTCTTCTAAATGTACTATTGGGACACAGCAACATGGCTTCATGAAGATTCACATCGTGACTTATAGCCTGGCTAAAATTTACATTGTAATGTGCTGAAGAATTCATGACATCATTGATACTGCCTAGAAGAGGAGAAATATCTCCCAGTGAGATGCCCTGAAAAAGGAAGAGATAAAAGCACTTTAGATATGCATAACCCTATTTCAAAATTAGTTCTATAACCTAATACAACTTTCCTCACTTTTGTCAATTCCTCTCCACAAAACAGGGATATGCTTGCTGTTGGCTATATGACTCTCTGCTTAAAATACTAGCAACATAATACGTGATGTGAGTCTCCAAATCAGAATGTGTTATACTTGGGGAAAAGAATTTCTTTGAATAACCTAGAAATTTAGAAAGCTTGGCTAGGTTAGTATAAAAACTCATCTCTCCGGGCGTGGTGGCTCACGCCTGTAATCCTAACTCTCTGGGAGGCCGAGGCGGGCGGATCGCTCAAGGTCAGGAGTTCGAAACCAGCCTGAGCAAGAGTGAGACCCCGTCTCTACTATAAATAGAAAGAAATTAATTGGCCAACTAATATATATACAAAAAATTAGCCGGGCATGGTGGTGAATGCCTGTAGTCCCAGCTACTTGGGAGGCTGAGGCAGGAGGATTGCTTGAGCCAGGAGTTTGAGGTTGCTGTGAGCTAGGCTGACGCCACGGCACTCACTCTAGCCTGGGCAACAAAGCGAGACTCTGTCTCAAAAAAAAAAAAAAAAAAAAAACTGATCTCATTTTTATAATCTTGTTGTAATTTAATACTTTATAACAAGATGCAAGTCTCATCCTAGCTGTTGGGTCAGAGATAATAAGCTATAGTGAAATAGTTTGTGGAGGGGAGAGATTGTTTAAAAGACTCCATATCACCAGCAAATTGGTATTAACGGATCAACACCTAAGTGGACATATAGGTAGGAATAACATTTATCAGGTGTCGGGCGGGTGGGGGAGGGAGGAGGGGCTGGGTATATACAAACATAACGAGTGAGATGTGCAACGTTTGGGGGATGGTCACGGTTGAAGCTCTGACTCGAGGGGTGAGGGAGGGCATGGGCAATATACGTAACCTTAACATTTGTACCCCATAATATGCTGAAATAAAAATAAAAGCCTGAAAAAAATAAAAATTTTAAAAAGACTCCACAAACACAATAAACTGTAAGACATAAATGCTACCAGAAAAAGCTATGCCTTAGTTTGTCAGATGTTTACCATTTTGCTTCAATTTGAATAGTCTCAATTTTTTATTGATATATAACTACATATTTATGGGGTACATGTGATATTTTGATACATACATATGATGTACACATATGATGTGTAATGATCAAATGAGGGCATTTAAGATATCCATCATCTCAAGACTTATTTCACTTATTATATTGAGAACATTTCAAATCTGGCTATTTTGAAAGTATACTCTCTTGTGCTATTGAACACTAGAACTTATTCCTTCCAACTATATGTATGTATATGTGTATCTAACTTACTGCACATAACATAATGACCTCCAGTTGCATCCATGTTGCTGTATTTTTTTTTTTAGAGATGGGGTCTCACTCTTGCTCAGGCTGGTCTTTTTTTTTTTTTTTGAGTCGGAGTCTCACTCTGTTACCCCGGCTAGAGTGCTGTGGCATCAGCCTAGCTCACAGCAACCTCAATCTCCTGGGCTCAAGGGATCCTACTGCCTCAGCCTCCTGAGGAGCTGGGACTACAGGCATGCGCCACCATGCCCGGCTAAGTTTTTCTATATATTTTTAGTTGGCCAATTAATTTGTTTCTATTTTTAGTAGAGACCAGGTCTCATTCTTGCTCAGGCTGGTTTTGAATTCCTGACCTTGTGCGATCCTCCCGCCTCGGCTTCCCAGAGTGCTAGGATTACAGGAGTGAGCCACCCCACCCAGCCTAGGCTGGTCTTAAACTCCTGAGCTCAAGCAATCTTGCTGCCTCGGCCTCCCAGAGTGCTAGTATTATAAGTGTGAGCCATCATGCCCAGCTCACATTGCTGCAAATGACCAGATTTCATTCTTTTTTTATGGCTAAATAGTATTCCATTGTGTATACATACCAGATTTTCTATATCCATTCATTTGGTGAGGAACACTTAGGTTAATTCCATATCTTATCTATTGTGAATAGTACTACAATAAATAAGGGGGTGCAGGTAGCTCTTTGATATACTTATTTTCTTTCATTTAAATAAAAACCCAGCAGTGGTAGTAGGATTGCTGGATCATATGGTATTTATTTATTTATTTTTTTTTTTTTGACAGGGTCTCACTCTGTCACCCAGGCTAGAGTGCAGTGGTGTCAAAGCTCACTGTAACCTCAAACTTCTGGGCTCAAGTGATCCTCCTGCCTCAGCCTCCTAAGTAGCCGGGACTACAGGTGCATGCTACCACACCCAGCTAATTTTTCTATGTTTTGTAGAAACAGGGTCTCACTCTTGCTTAGGCTGCTCTCAAACTCCTGGCCTCAAGCAATCCTCCCACCGTGGCCTCCCAAAATGCTAGGATTATAGGTATGAGCCACTGCACTTGATCCTATTTTGAGAAACCTCCATACTATTTTCCATGAATGGTCTAAATCAGATTATACCTTTGGGATTATTTAGAAGGAGGAATGGGATATATGTTTGGTAAATTCTCCAAAGTCGAAGTGTTTCTATAAAAAGTAAACAAGTCTGTTTACTTAAATTATATACACATGATACATATTAATAAGTATTACTTTAAACTGCTGTATTATCCAACTAAAAAGGTTATATTTATTTACAAAGAGGTAAGTGCAGATATGTTAATGCAAAGATAAAAAGTCAAGGCTCCAATTACCTCCAGTGAATTTTCAGGCTGTGATGAAAGCAACTGGAATAAGTCTTCCAGAGAGAAAGATGTATCTGTCCCATTTAGATGTCTCTGTAGAAAAACATAAAAGATACATCATATTTCACATAAATTAAAAGAATGAAGTGGTTAACTGGGGCTTAGGCTTAATTTTTAAAGGATACTCAGGTCCTAACTCCATGCTGGATTTTTATAGTTCCTTACAATTGGAAGTTTTACATCCTAGTAACTAACACGCTATAGAAATGATCCCTAAAAGTATAGTCTTCGAAATTTTACATTCTAATCCTCTTCTTTTAGTGTCTTAATATTTTAACATGCACACTTGTTTTTCCCCCAAAAGACAAGGTCTTACTCTGTTGCCCAGGCTGGATTGCAGTGGATAGCTCACTGCAGCCTCTAACTGAGCTCAAGCAGTCCTCCCACCTCAGCCTCCTGACTAGCTAGGACTACAAGTGCTTGCCATCATCCCTTGCTAAGTTTTTAAATTTTTATAGAGATGGGTCTGGCTATGTTGCCCAGAATGGTCTCAAATTCCTGGCCTCAAGCAATCTTCCTGCCAGGGCCTTCCAAAGCTGTAGAGTTACAGGCGTGAGCCACCACTCCTGGTCGACATGCACACTTAAAGTTCATCAGATCATGTGGAGAAAAGAAGGGAAAAAAGTTAATCAGGATATCTCTTCCTGCCCTGTTCATCTTCCATATAATTTCTGGCTAGTATTTTTACTTTCACCTTAGTTGGTCCTCCACAGCCAGCCCCTCCAAATTGGTTACAAAATTATGTAATTTTTACAATCAATACTTATTTATATTCACCCAAATGTTTTACCAACTTACTCATCATTACATCTCACTCCTGCATTCATGGTTGAGCTTTATTGTTGAAAGAACTCCTTTGAGAGTTGTTTTTAGAGTGGCTCTGAGTAGTAAAGTCCCTTTGTTTTTATTATCCAGACTTATTATTTTACCTTCATGCTTAAATGATAGGTTAACAGGTAAAAAAAAAAAAAAAAAAGCAGGTTTAATGTTTTCTCTCAGAACTTTGTCTTATAGAATTTATTACTATTGGTAAGTTTGTACTTAGTGTTATTTATAGTGAATCTTTTCTTAGGTAACTTAAGATTTTTTTTTTAGTTTTTGACATTCTGCAATTTCACTTTGATATATCTGGGATCTAATTTGTTTTTATTTACTCTGCTTGGGACTCTGTGTGCTCCTTTAATCTGAGGACTAATTTAATTCTGGAAATATTTTGCTATAAACTCATTTTAAATATTGCTTTTCTTCCAAGTTTTCTAGTCTCCTTCTGGGTCACTTATTAGACATAACTTAGATTTCCTGATTCTATCATTGTCTCAGTTTTTATTTCATATTTTACAGCCTTCTCAGGTACATCCTGAGTCACACTTCGTTAGCTATGTCTTCCAATTACTCTTTTCTTTAGTCATGTCTAATCTGCTATTCACCTCTTCCATTCTTTTTAACTAAAATGACTACATTTTTCAAATCCAGAATTTCATGTGGGCTCTTCTACATCTACTTTCCCTTTTCTCATGATAATCTGTTCGTGCCTTATAGATTCTGTTCCTTTACTTTGAACAAGTTAAACACCTTAATTTTAGAGTCTTTTCCAGAGAATTTGTGAATATTGACCTTTTTTTTTTGCGTATACTGACTCATGGCTATTTATTTGTCGTTTTTAAAAGGTGAGCTTTGTTAGGAGCTGTTTCTGTAGGAATCCCCAACACCAAGAGTTATCAACTGTAAGACAGTTTGATACTTTTCTCTACAAGGACCAGTGTTTTTTATCATTTTCTAGACCTTCCTTTCTTGGCTCAAGATTCCTGTTGGTGATGGTAATGTGGATTCAGACCCTATATCTAGCTTTAGGGTTGATTTCTATTGGATGGATAGAATTATCTCAGTCCCCATTTCCTAGATATTCTTCCAGAGTTGTCAACTGAAAGAATGGAAATGCCAGTGATTCACTGAGCCAACAACTCAAGTTTTTTTTAAATTTCAACTGTTAAAGCACCTACTAAGTAGTATCTTGATAAAAGAGCGGATGATGACTGTACTGTCAGAGCTACCATAAGAAATGTGTGGCTTGCAGTACACAAAGATGTGAATGCAGACTAATCATGTGGTGCAGCTGGAACACAGAGGCGCACGGGAAAAAGCAAGCCTGGTTAAGAGCTGAGGCACAGACGCTGCTCTGTGTGATTGATGTGTTTCCAAAGTTTTATCCAAACTGATGTTCGTCTTACATCACATCTAGTTTAAATTCTCTCCGAGGAAGTTTCCTACTTCATCTATCTCCTCATTAATATTTAATGAGTGCCTCTTATGTGTCTAGCAGTGAAGCAGTTACTACAGGTCATTTAAAGAAGTAGAGAAATCAGTTCCTGCTTTTCTGGGAAGCCCACTGAGGGAGCAAAAGGCAAAGACATACCCAGGAGGAAAACTAACCAACTGTGTAAGGCAGTAGACAACCAAGCATTAAAGATGTGGTAAAACATCTTTTTCCCCAAAGCAGTTAACTGTGGAAAGTGGGCTGAAATGCTGTCTCTTTCAAAGTAAATATGGTTCTTTCACTATTTAAATATAAAAGTCCATAGGCATTGATTTGACAATATTGGTGGGGAGGAGTGGGGGGGTAAAGCCACACCAAGGAGACATGAATTATGAGGAAATACGAAGCCTAGGTAAGTGACAGGAGCTGGGGAGGATGCCAGCTGGAAAAAAGCACAGCCAGCCTCTTCTGCATTTGAAAGTGAAATGCTAGGCTGCAACTGAGAATTAGGAAAAGGTTGAATCTGCAGAGGTTGGGAGTGAAAATGGGAGGGGTGAGCTCCTGGCCTCTTCCTCTCACCTGAAGAATGGCAAGAAGGGCCTCAAGGAGATGACTTAGAATCTGGTGTGTGCTCCCTAAAGTCTGGGGACAGAGCTAAGCTTACTGTCCCACTCTTGTCTGAGAAATATAGAGGGTAAGAAGAGGCCAGACAAGGGCTGTGGTTAGGGAAGTTACTGAACTGGTACAGGTGTGAAGGGCGTGTTTCCAGGGCCAGATAGACAGCCAGCAAGTGGTTGACAGGGCCACCTGCCACAGAATGTTCAGGAAGGAGTCCTACAGGAACAGCTGAAGGGGGGAGATGGGTTTGTCCTTGTCAAGAGAAAGGCGGGTGAAGGACTCCCCAGCTGTGGGGGCAGGGGTCTGTAAAGAACCTACTAAATGAAAGTGCCCATCTGACAAAGAGTTTTATTTAAATGTATCCCACAGTCAATGGAAATAATGTCACACTGGTGCCAGTCAAGTAGCACTTTTCCTGAGTTCTCAGAACCCCACACTCCCAACTCCAGAGAAAGCAGCCTAACCTGAGGAATTGGGGGAATAGAGGAGTAGGCCACACATACCCTTCCTCAGGCAGGCCTTGAAGCTGTAGAAGACAAGATGGGAGAAGGGAGGAAGCTGAATTTTACTTAAGAGTTTTTGAGAATTACACTGGATTATTCTTACCAATTGCTGCACTGGGGTGACCAGAAAAATTTTTATCTGAGTATCTAGAAGTCATGAGGCCTGCCCTAGATTTCACCCAAAGGGTAGGGAAGAACTAGTTCCTCTAGAACAGGTTAGAACAGGCTGGAGGGGACAGGGGAGTGGTGGGTAGGCAAAGAGAACAAAGCTGTTTTCTGATTTCATGCCATAAAATCAAGTAATGTTTGATGTGATATTATATGGTCAAGGCTACCATGATGATGAGTTATCTGAGAAGGGGCCAGGATATGGCACTCTCTATCTCCTAAGGGTGTTCAAGGCACGGGCCCCAAACTCCACCTCCTGGGAGGGGACATGTGGTTAAAGGTCTGTGGGAACTGCAGGCCAGTCTCTGGAGCACCTGTCTGCCAGGCTTGTGCCAGGGACCTCAGCAGCAGGGCTCAGTGGAAACCAGAGTATGCCCCCAGTCGAAGAAGAGGGGGAAGCACAGGCTGCAGGAAGAATCCATTCCGTCAGCCTGGCTCCTGGAGTTCATCTTTCTATAACTTCTGACAGATAACAAGTGTGGTTAGACAATGAGAAGCCAAGGAGGTGGTCCCACTAGGCCTGGCCCTTAGTCTAGGCCAGAGGTACCAAATGGGCTCCTGGGTGCCCAGTGGTTCAGCTTGGCCTGCTGGGAGACTGAACAAAGATTTGAGCCCAAACCTTAGCTGGAATCATGGGTGATCTGCCTGGAGAGTTGGTCCTCTGGCTTGCTCTCCTGGACCTGGCCAGCCTGGCTGCCTATGCTGGCTGAAGATTAGTAGGTTCAGCATGCCCACCATCTCTTTATCCCTTGCTTTGGCAAACACAACTAGCAAAACCTGCCATCAAGTTTCTGGAGGGATGTGTGTATATACCCACACAAAATCTTGAGTTTAGCCAGAGAAAACACTTCTATGGGCTGATGTGCTTGTAAATCAAATTACTACTCCCACAATTTAAAGAAACACATATTTTCATATATGAGACTTGTTAATACTAGAGCACAATTATATGCTCATTCTCAATGCCACAAAACCTACATTAAAGCCAAAATGGCATCGCTGGACTATTTGGGTTTTTTTGAGACACAGTCTCACTTTGTTGCCCAGGCTAGGGTGAGTGCCGTAGCATCAGCCTAGCTCACAGCAACCTCAAACTCCTGGGCTCAAGCAATCCTGCTGCCTCAGCCTCCCAAGTAGCGGGGACTACAGGCATGCGCCACCATGCATGACTTTATATATATATATATATATATATATATATATATATATTAGTTGGCCAACTAATTTCTTTCTACTGATAGTAGAAAGGGAGTCTCACTCTTGCTCAGGCTGGTTTCGAACTCCTGACCTCAAGCAATCCGCCCACCTCGGCCTCCCAGAGTGCTAGGATTACAGGTGTGAGCCACCGTGCCCGGCCTGGCTGGACTATTTGGACATGCTTACCTCATTTCTAGACTCAGTGGTCTTTTCTGCCTCCCACTCAGGTTTATCTGCTATTTTATTTTCATCTTCATTATTCTGCTGTAGTGATTTCTCCTTCTGGGCTGACACCCTTTCTTCATTTTCCTCCTGCTGGGAACTGTGATCCACAGCTTCACATTTCTCTCTTAGTACTTCATTCTCCTATAAAAGTACCAAAAAATGTGCTCAGTAGAAATCTGTATTTCCTCAAATAAGCAAACAGTCTTTAAAACTGCAAAGTACTTACTGTTCAGTGATCATGAGAACCCACAAGTCAAAAGCTAACAGTGACATTTCATTATTGTATCAAAGGAACATTTAATTCTGAAACAAAGGTCTGTTTTATTATGCCCCGTCCTTCTTAAGTACTCACTCTGAGACAGGCTGTTCTAATCTGCAGAATTTAAATTATATGCATTTTTATAAAGCCCCTGAATTGAAAATACTTGCAAGTTAGATTAGATTTGGAAATCACTGTTGCCAGCAGGCAGTTTTTATTTAGTTCTCTGTTGAAAACAGATCAAACAGCTAAGTTGGAAGCAAATACTGATCAAATATACACAGAAGAATCTGAAAAGTATTATTACAAACTATTATAATTGTGGTTCTCTCTGTAAGGTAGAATGGGTTGGAGATAAAGTGAGAAAGAGTTGACTTCACTTCATAAACCTCTGTAACTCTTTGAACATTTTACAATAAACACGTATTCCTTTTACAATCAGAAAAATATATTTTTATTTTCAGAAATAAATCTATTTCCACAGATCTATGCTTATTTATCCAGATGAGTCCTTCCACCTTTTAATTTACTTTATAACTAAGAAGGCTTAAATAATTAAAAGGCTAGAGAATTCTTTTAAACATTCAAATATGGAAGTTACCATTTAGCATTAGTATATGCTAATACTTTCAATCATGAAGTTAAAAGCTCTTTGTGTATAATTTTTTTCCCCTCTAACATCAAGGCTTCCCAAACTCTTTCAAAGGATCTATTTTTAATTTATGACTTCCAGGAATATGACATACTGGACTAACTCAAGGACAGCACCTGCATCCCACCAAACCACAGAAATAAATAAACAAACACACACACACACACACACACACACACACACACACACACATACATGCAGGCGAAAGAAATGGGAATCCACAGATTCCAGAAGGAGAGAAATCAAAACAAGAAAAGGAAGTGGAAGCGGATATCCCGGTGGCCCGCTGGTTTTACTTGCTTCTCTATCTGTCCAACTGTACCTAACTATACGACACACTCTGCCTTCCTTTCCAACACTGTGGATGACTGTCTTGGTCCTAGCTGAATCTCTGTGTTTGCATACTCCATCACAACCCTGCTCATGTGCTCAAGATGTTGCCTCTGCTACTCTAACTCTACTCTTCCTCTCTTTTGCGTAAATAGTATCTCCCGTCTGCTGGACAATTCCCACCAGCCTACTAACATACACTAATACCTCCCATTTAAAAAAAAAAAAAAACCCTCCCTTGGTCCCACACTACTCTTTAGATCCCATATCATTCTTCTGCTCCCCTTTAGAGCAAAATCTGCCAGAGTTATCTGGAGTCAGTGTGTTCCCTTTTGAACCTATTCCAATAAGGACTCTGTCCCCATCACTCTACTCAAAGAGCTCACCAGGGTCTCCCAAATCCAGCAATTCTCCATTCTCATCTCATTTGACCCATCAGCAGAATCTTAGTTACCACCTCCTCCTGGAAACAGCTTCTTCACTTGGCATCCAAGTACCTCTCTTTTTATTCTCCTGCCTCACTGGGCACTTCTGTTTTGTTGATTCCTCATCCCTCTGATCTTAAATGTAGCAATGCTCCAAGGCTTAGCCTCAGGCCCACCAAGCACTCTCCCACTTTGCGGCCCTTGTGTTCGCTGCTCTTTCTGCCTGTAAGGCTCTCTCTGCCTTCCACTCCCAGCCTTCAAGTCTCTCTTCAAATATTTACCATCTTTCTTGACCTCTCTATATTAAAAAGTACCTCTCTCATCAATATCCATCTCCTTTATCTTGCTTTCTTCCCATAGCATTTAGCACCAGCTGGTATTAATATATTACCTTATATATGTATTATTTTGCTGTCTGCCCCACTAGAATGCAATTTTTTTTTTTTTTTTTTGAGGCTGGTCAAGTGAAGCAGTGGAAATGGAGAAGGAACAAAGGAACCTGGAACTGGTTGTGATCAATTAGTTATAAACACCACTGCCAAAGAATGCTAGTTTCTTGAGGGCAGGGACTCTGTCTGCTTGGTTTCTGCTGTATACCCCACTGCCTATCCCAGAGCTTGGCACATAATAGACCCTTATTAGAAATTTGTTAAATAGCTGAACTCTTAGACATAATATCCTAACACTTTGGTAGGGATTCTACTGCTGATGGATTGTTTTTTCCTGCAATTACAGTACCGATTCCTATTTAAACTGGGGGAAGGAAGGAAAAAGTGACTGATCACCACTCTTTTTACCTCTTATCTTCTGCCAAGGCAAAGTTTCTTTTGCTAAACCTTAAGGTAATCAAATTCAAAATTCTGGAGTCCTGAGGCAGCTAACAAATTTGTTCACAAATGTGCTGTTAGTAGACAGAGGAACTTCTAATCTCTAAATCACATGATCTATTTTAGAACCATGAAGGAAGGTCCCCTTAGTTAATCCATAATGTGTGTTAATAGTAATCTGTAATGTGTGTTAATAATCTGTAATGTGTGCAGGAACACATAGTCAGTCCACGCGCAACGAATTTCTCTGCTACAAGCACAAAGGCATGAAACCATTTCTTGGGCTTAGGGAACTGTGAAGAGTTCAAAATGATTGGAGAAGAGGATGCAGAGAAGCAGTGTCAAAAGATGAGTTAGGAAAGGCAGGGAGGAGAAGATGAAATCTTGTGTGCTGTACTACTTTATGTGCAGACCAGAGCATAGACAGACATAGACAGACAGACATAGACACACATATGAACATGCAGACATAGACAGACATAGACACACATATGAACATGCAAACACAAGAATATATTACTTATAATATTACCTGAATGTACAATAACAGAAGGAAACAAGTGGCCAAACAGGACTAGATCAAGCTCATAAGAAAATCAACCAAGTAAACTTTAGTCTGGGAAGGCCTTTTCTGTGGGAAAACTTTAACTTTTAGAGTGCAATGAATTGGCAACACAAGTAGGTAAGATAACCTGCCTATAAACTTGGAGATAAGAATTAAAGCTACAGAAATGCTACAGGACCAAAACGCATGCTGCGAGAAGCCAAACAAACACAGGTTAAAAATCCTATCATATAATAATGGATCATAATTCACTGAATAAAATGAGTTAAATAAAAGAATCAATGAATCCACTCAAACATATGATCAAATAAATGAGGAAAGAAGGAAATCCCTTCTTTACAGTAGAATACAACTAATAAATACAGAAGGAGAATGACGGAGCTAGAAAATCATTAATAGATGCTTAAACTAGGGAATGAAAGTTTGATGAGAAATAAGATATTTAAATAGTCTCAAAGGATCACTCTGCAGATTACTTATTAATTATAAAGAGAAAAATAACAGTACTACAGGAGAAATGTGGCAGACGCCATCTTAACCAAATCGTCAAATCTATTACCAAAATATGGAGATAAACCAACATCATCTTGCCTCTTGATATGAAGGACAACATTTCTGTAATTTTCTCACCAAAAATTCATAATCTCAATCTAATCATGAAGAAATACCAGATACAAAATGGGGTGGGCATTTTTATAAAGTAACTGATACTTTTTAAAAATCTGATGGTCAAGAAATATCAAGACTGTGGAACTTTTTCCAGACTAAAGGTGACCAGAGACTTGGCAACTAAATGCAACAAATGATCCTGGATTAGATGCTGATCTAGGAGAAAAAGTAGCTATGAAGCACATTATTGGGGCAACAGGCATATTCTGAAAATACATAGTAGATTAGATAATAGTCTTAGATTCATATTAAATTTCCCAATTTTGATAACTGGTTATAGAAAGGAAAATCTTTATTCTTCGGGAATATACACTAAAGTGTCTGGCTATTGAGGGATACAATAATTTCAACTCACTTGAAGTTTCAGAACAAAAAATTACATTTGTGTATGGAGAGACACAGTTATTAATACAGATAAATGGGGCAAAATGTAAACTAGGTAAATCTGGGTAAAGGATGTATGTACTATATCTGCAGACTTTTTAATGCTTGAAATCATATTAAACTAAAAAGTTAACCTACAAATCCCTACATAGCAAAATTACTTTGGTCAATGCAACAGCAAAGGATTGGCCCAGAACAATTCTTACATTTAATTTTCTGTTAATCCATATTTTTCCCCCAAAGTGTATAGACATATAAATTACTTTAATAATTATTTTCAACTCTTCCTTTCCAACATTTGAATTTCATATTTCATTTTCTTGTCTAATTGCTTTGGTTATGCTTCTGGAATATGTTAAATTATTATGGTGAAACCTGACATTCTTGCTCATAAAATTAATGGGAATGTTTTTAATGTTTCACAAATAAGGATGACATGCGGACTTTTATGTGAGATAGAGTCAGTCACTTTTAAACTGAATGCCAAATACTACACTAAATCCTGGGGATACAGTAGTGAAAAAGTACAATCAGACCTTTCGGATCTTTCATTCTAAAGGGAGAGGGAACCATGAACACAAGTGAACTAAAAAATAACTACAAGTTATGGTCAGTGAAAGAAAAAGAGCTAACTATGTGAGAGTAGATCATAGTCTAGGAAAAGGTAGTGGTAACGGATACAGAGAGAAGTGGAGGAAGTCATGATATATTTTAGAAAAAGAGCAGTCAAGACTTGTTGATAAGCAAGAAATGGGGGAATAAAGGAAAGGGAAGAATTAAGAATGAACTACTAGATTTCTGACTTTAATAACCTGATGGACAGCTGTAGGGAGAATGGTTTAAAAGAGAAACAGAGTTTTTCTATTTTCTATTTCTATGTTAAATTTGAGATGTTGAAAAGTCAAGTAGAAGTATCAATTATAATGATGAGATAAGAATCTGGAATTTCAAGTAAAGGTCTGAACCAGAGGTGTAGACTAGAAATGCATTTATATATCTAAAATCATAGGAACTAATGAGATGCCCAGCAAGAGTATATAGAGCAAGAAGGGGGCTTAGCAATGAGCCCTGAGGGACTGCAACATGAAGTCAGGCAGAGAAGCCAGCAAAGCAGACTGAGAACAGGTGGTGAGATACGGGGGAAACCAGGAGACAGCAGTGTCTTGGAATCGTTTCCAGAAGGGAGTTGGTTGGTTGTGTTGAAACGCTGCTTGGACCTTACACAAGGAAAGGACAGAAAAGTATCCATTGGATTTGGCACTAAGAAAGCTGTTGGTGGCCTTCAAAAAAATCAACTTAGGGCAGAAGCCAAATGATACTATGTTGAAGAGTAAATGGGAGTTGGCAAATCAGAATCTGTGTACAGACAATTCTTCCAAGAATTGTCATGAAAGTGAGAGGAAAAAAGGATCAGTGATTCTTTTGTTTTGTTTTGTCTTGAAGATGAAAAATACTAGGACATGTTTGTAAGGAAATAATTGAGGACAAAATAACTGCAAAGCATAGTCCTTCAGAAAGCAAAAGAGGACGGCTCCAAAGTACAAGTGGCAGGGACTGATTTTGAAAGAAGGAAAAATAAAGCCCTTATATCAAGATAAGGAGTGGACAGGTAGATAGAAGGTGGATACAATAATATATTTGAGGATTTGGTAGTAGGAAGATCCATCTATTCTTATTTTTGAAGAGCATCTTTAAAAAGTAAGGATACTGAACACTAAGTGGGTTTTAAAATGCCACAAATTATATGATGCTTTTTTCTTCAAGCAGTAGAGCTAATTCCCTCTTCTTGAGTGGAGGCTGGACTTAGTGAATTGCTTCTAACAGAATCTGGTGAAAGTGATAGCACGGCATTGTGGCTTCCTCCTTCCTCTCTGGTCACTTGTTCTGGTAAGGGCCAGCTCCCATGTTGTAAGGACATTCAAGCAGCCCTGTGGAGAGGGCACATGGCCAGGAGCTGAAGCCTCTTGCCAAGAGCCCTATGACTGACCCATCTTGGAAGTGAATCCTCTAGCCCCAATCAAGCCTTCAGATGACTGCAACCCAACCAACATCTTGATTACAATCTCATGAGACCGTAAACAAGAACCACCCAGCTAAGCTGTTCCAGAACTTCTCACCCACAGATACTATGGGATAATAAATGTTTGTATGGAGCCATAAGTTTTGGGACAATTTGTTATGCAGCAATGGATAATTAAAAAAAAATGCTCTTGGCATCTATATTCTTTGTATGCCTTCCTATTAGATTTAATATTGTGCACGGATGAATATGAATATTTCTAAGAGTGATGTGTGGTTTTCTTTGATGCTTTCTCTTTTCTTTTTTTTTTTTTTAGATCTTGGTATCACTGTCATGTTGGTTTTAATTGGAAAGCTTTCACATCATAACTGCTTATTCTTATAAAGTTTGAAAGCATTCCCCTTGAATTCTGTCTGGATCAGCTGTTTGTTTTTTTAAAGAAACTATTCTAACGTTTTCAACTTCATGGGATCATGAAACCAACAGCCCTCCAAAAAGTCTGTTCCAACTTATATTGCAATATTTGGGCATACCCATTTCCTCACGCCCCACCTACCCTTGGTTTGCTTCTTTTTTGGGGGGTGGGGGGACAGAGTCTCACTCTATTGTCCAGGCTAGAATGCTGTGGCATCAGCCTAGCTCACAGCAACCTCAAACTCCTGGGCTCAAGCAATCCTCCTGCCTCAGCCTCCCAAGTAGCTGGGACTACAGGCATGCGCCACCATGCCCGGCTAATTTTTTCTATATATTTTTTTAGTTGTCTAGCTAATTTCTTTCTATTTTTAGTAGAGACAGGGTCTCAAACTCCTGAGCTCAAACAATCCACCCTCCTCGGCCTCCCAGAGTGCTAGGATTTATAGACGTGGGCCACCGTGTCCGGCCTATTTCTTTCTTAATATTTGCTAATTAAAAGTTTAAAAGGCAACTAGCTCATCAGCAGCCATAAACTCACAGATGAGAGATTATGTATTACAACGTACGTATGAAGCAAGTGGTGAGTGTGACGTAGTCAGGGTAGAGCTCTGGACTGAGCGGGGAGACCCTTACTGTGAGCGGGTGCCTGAGTGCACTTAAAGATGAGGAGCTGAGGGAGCCCAGGGGAGGAAAGGGTGGCCAGAGCAGGCACTCCTCTTGCTCTTCTGCCAGGCAGAGAGGGGCAGGAGAGGCAGGTGGCGAGCCTGGGCTCAGTCACTTCAGGGTTGAAAACCTGGTTTCCTGAGAGGGCCCTTTCCAGCTCTGACACGCCAGGGTCTATGAGTAAGTGGCCAAATCATTTATCACCAAACTGGTAGACTTTTGAGACGGTAAGAGGGTGATATTAAAAAGAAAGCTAGGCAACAAGCACAGACCCGGACTGTCCTGTATGGTCACCCTATGGCTGAGGCCACTGTGGCGAGAGGGTACTGCGTAACGCTCCAGAATCTTGATGGCAGATGGACGGGTGCTGCCTGACTTCCACGGACCCAGGTAAGAGAAATACTGTACCTTGCTCAGCCTTATGTATTTAATAATTATCCTCTTAGACAGTCCTTCACGTATTCATTCAACTCTCCTTTACTGCGAGCCTGTTAGGAATAAAGCTAACAGGAACACATGGTATCGGAAGGGCTGAACGAGGGGAAGACTCTCCCCAGGTTAGCACGATGCATGTGGACATGTGCAGCCTGGATCCCCTCCAAAGGACTTGTGGCAACTCCTGTGGATACGTGGGCAGTCAGCCTCACCTAAGGTCACACCCTTCCCAGGCCACCCACACTGCGTGACTGGCCAGGCAAGACTCGAGCAGCCAGGCCATCTTGGCGCAAGGTGGGGCCATCCTGACACACGTCAGCCCCAGAGCGCCTGGCTTTGTTAGCCTGCGACTTCACTTCCTCCGTCTGATCCTGTTCTTGTCCTCCCTTCCAGCTTTTGATCCCAAAGGCTCTTCCTAATGAACCTGCTGCACGCTAAACACAGTCTCAGAGTCCGCTTCCCAGCGAACTCAACTTCTGACAATTGTTCTATCTTGACAGGGAGAGAGGAGAGACCAGAGTGTCAAGGCAGGGAGGGGTGGAGGATTCACTATTATAACATTTATATTTACAAAGTGAGAAAGGACTATGGCACCTGAAATATAATTTGCCCGGTCTGCAAAAGCCCAGAATAGCCAGCGGCCAGAAGGGCTCAGGTTCAAAACAGCCCAGTAGAAAGGCCTATCCTACCCCAGCAACTGTGTGACCTTGAGCCAGATGCCTAATCTCTCTGACCTTCAGTTTCCCCATCTGTGAAATGAGAAGATAATATTTAATATTAACTAATTCATATTTTAAGGAATTAGTTAGAAAAAAAAGCCCCTTCATACATTCCAACATGCTATATAAACATTAATTACTACTTTCTACTGCTTTTTGATTCTGAAGAGTAACAAATAATGATTAACTACTGACAACTCAATTTGAATTTCAAGAGAAAGCGATCCCAGCCAGCCCTGGTAGCCAGTAATTACTATCTCTGCTCTTTTTCTTTTTTTTGCTGTTTTTCTCAACTCAATGACATGGAGCTGAGATCCGTGTTTTACAAGTACATTGTATATACTGGAGAGGTTTATGGCTCATCCTCTTAATTTAAAGAACAGGTAAGTCAAACCCATCATTAAGCCACTTTTTATTTGCGTGCAAATGATTTTTACCCTTGTGGAGCTGGGATCCAATTTAAAAAAAAACAGTTTCCATGCTTGCCACAGGAAGCCATCGTAAACTTGTAAGCTGCAGCCCTTAATCACAGCTAAACACCCCATGACTTGTACAGAACTGGCACCTGCTGGAAACTGACCCATCCACCCTTTGCAAGGATCCAGAACCTTCTCAGTTTGGGCCTTTTAGCCAAAACTGGGTTCTCTTGTCTCTAAAATCTCATGGTTTCTAGGTTTTCTCTTAAGGCACTTCTTCTATTCTATATAAAATAACATGTATTTGGGTCTTTTCTTTCCTAATGGGCTGTTATCTTAGGATGCCTGCCCTCCTGCCATTCACCTCTGCCACCCACGCAGAGGCAGAGTAGAGTTTTGCATGAAGGTTTGCTCAATCAGTAAAAGTAGTGGGAAGGGGAAAAGGAGCAAGCTTGGCTTTTTCTCTTTTCTTTGCCTAGTCTCAGAAGTCCCTGTCAAGCGGCAATGTGTACTGCTCATACTGTATTGGGATCTGAATAATGAGATGGAAGAATCTGCCCTTGAAAACACCCTTTGTGAACAGTCCCAGCTGGCATTGATGAGCCTTTCATTTATTCATCTGGAGGAGGAGAGACTGGGACCTGCTTTGACCTCAGGGTTGGATGAACCTTCAAAGACAAAGAACAGTGTGGTGCCTTCAGGAAAGATGACATCAGAGGGACAGTGGGGAGGAATTCTGTGGCCTGTCTCTAGGCTGGAGGCAAGCTGGAGTCATCAGGGCTAGAGAAACAAGGAGCCAGAGAAAGAGAGACTGTGTCCTGTTTGGCCTGGGTGGTTTTTGATAGTAGTTCATAATTATTCTAGCTCGCATTTACTGGGCACTCGCTGTGGGCTAGCCACCATGTACGTTACCTCATTTTAAGTTGCTCAGCATCCTTGTATAAGGTAGGTACTGTTGTTATCTCCCCTTACAGAGGAGGAACCCGAGGCAAAGAGAGGTCAAGCAACTTGCCTTAAGTCACACAGCTAGTAAGTGACAGAACCAGGATTTGTAATACAAACCGCAAGCATTTGTATTACATAGCCAGCACTTAGCCACTGTACTGGTCCTTGTTTGCCCTTCCAGATCCACGTGTGGCCCCCCAGAAGAAGACCCCTGCAAACTCCAGTACTGGCTGGCATCCAGCTGGGATCACCAGTGAGGGGCTGGAGCCCACAGGGAGCGGGCAAAGGACAGGTCAAGGCATTTGACTCCAAGCTCCAGGGCCCCGAGAACCTTCCCACCCCTTCCTACTGGAGGTCTCCGGGCTCCTCGGTGTCCCTGTCTGCCCCTGTCCACATGGCTATACAAAGCCATTCTTTTCCATCTCTTCATGTGAGCCATGCAGGGTGAATTCCTGCTACTGACACTGGCTCCACGTTGTATCACACAGGTTACAACAGCAGGGTGGCAGCTGCCGACTCGTACAAATCAAATGAAGCTCCTGCCTGCTTGAATATTACTTTATCATGCAAAAACAGCGGGATGAAATAAATGTAAGGTTTAGATCCTGTTTGGATCCTGATTCAAAATCAACCGTGAAAAACTATTCATGGGGAAATTTGAACACTCCCTGGACATGAGACATTAAAGAATTCTTGTTAATCTCTTTTAGGTGTGTAATGGTATTGTGGTTATGTTTAGAAGAGTCCTTATGATTTGAGGCTATACAGTGAAATATTTACAGAAGGTTTTCTGAGTCAATGAAGGTGTGGGGAGAGTAAGAAAGGAACAATACTGGGCTTCTCTCTCCTCCTTGCTAAATCCCTGCAAAGAGCTGGCATAAGAATCACAAGAAATGGTATCTGGGACTTGTTTCAAAATAAGCAGAGGGTGGAGGCATCACAGATGACACACGACTGGCCAGGAGCTGGTAACTGCTGAAGCTACCTGATAGGGATGGGGGCGCATTACCCTACTCTCCAGTCTCTCCACCTGTAATGTGTGCGTGGCATTTTCCATGACAAAATGTGATGTAGGCTAAACTCATTCTGAAGGCCCCTGGAGGAGGCAGGGACACAGCTAAAAAAACAAATTGTGGTATATGTATACCATGGAGTACTATTCAGCTCTAAGAAACAATGGTGATATAGCACATCTTATATTTTCCTGGTTAGAGCTGGAACCCATACTACTAAGTGAAGTATCCCAAGAATGGAAAAACAAGCACCAGATATATTCTCCAGCAAACTGGTATTAACTGAGTAGCACCTAAGTGGACACATAGGTACTACAGTAATAGGGTATTGGGCAGGTGGGAGGGGGGAGGGGGGAGGGTATATACATACATAATGAGTGAGATGTGCACCATCTGGGGGATGGTCATGATGGAGACTCAGACTTTTGGGGGGAGGGGGGAAATGGGCATTTATTGAAACCTTAAAATCTGTACCCCCATAATATGCCGGAATAAAAAAAAAAAAAAAAAAAAAAAAAAAAAAAAAAAAAAAAAAAAAAAAAACAAATTGGCAGACATCCTCCCGGTGGCAGAAGCTAAGCTAAAAGAGGCCCATACTCAATGTGACTCCCCACCAGGAGGGGGCAGTATAAAAAGTAACAGTGTTTCCAAACAGAAGCCCCTCCACCTATGATACAGGACATAAGCTCCAGCCCACAGACTCTGGTTTCAAATGGAGCTGCTTCTCATGCAAGTGGCTGCTGGACAGCCTGAGGGCCTGGGAGGGGGAAAGGGGTCAGCAGTACAGATTCATCTGCGATTCTTTCATTTAATGCTAGATGACCCCAGTGGGCACAATAGGCCAGCTAGTCCTCAAAAGACATGATTTTTTGGCATTTTCCTTACTATGAAAAATTTCAAATGTACTACAAACAGAACACTGAATAATACAGTGAACTCTCCAAGTACCCATCACCCAGTTTCAACAATGACCAACATTCTTATATCAATATCTCCACTCCTCCCCACTCATTTATTCTTTCACAGGTTTGAGGTAGGACTCACACACACAGAAATGCAGAAACCTTAGCTGTACAACTTGATAAATGGAGGCACCCACATAACTCAATCCCCAACCACGATATGGAACATTTCAGAAAGTTCTCTCCTGTCCTGGTATTTTTACCTGAGTTTTGTTTGCCAGTTCTAGAACTTAAGCATGAATTTTAAACCGCATTTACGTACAAACTAGTTCTGCATTCATTATTAGTTTGTTTGGTTTTTTTGAAAGCTGGTTCCCCATCTCTTGACCTACCGGCCACCCCCATCCAGAGAGAGATGTTCTTTAGGATACGTGAGGAAATAATAAAAGGAGCTAGAGAAATCCGGGCTTCCACTTTAAAACACCTGGTAAACCAGCACTAGCCCTGGCCCTGCTACCCAAGCGCGTGACTTTGATCCAGTCCTCTAGATATTATGGGCCTTAAATTTACAGTAGGGCTTTCAGCCAGGCCTTCCCTCCATTGGGGTGCTGCTGGACACTGAGGAGCTGGTGCAGGGGGTGTTGGTGTGGGGACGAGGAATGCTAAGGCAGAGATCCTCAAGCTGGGCCAGCCATAAGAACCACCTGCGGGTCTGGAAAACTCCACAGGTATTGATTCAGCAAGTCTTGGTGGGGGGCAGCAATCTACCTTTTATATGCACCCCAGGGGACTCAGATGCAGTCACTGGACTAGCCTAGCCGAGGAGAAACTCCAAAGGAAGGCAAAAAGAAAATAACAAAAAAAAGAGCTAAGAAGGTCTTCCTGTAGCTGAGCTTCAGTTTGCCTTTGGTGATCTGCCTCCTTCACAGAATAGCCCTACAAATATTTGAAGTTAGTGATTATGTGCCTTCCTTAGTCTGATGTCTCAGCATGGAACAGCCTCAGTTCGTTCAACCATTTCCAATATTGTGAACTGAAAGAAAATCTTAAGGCTCCCCCCCAGCTGCCTGAATGGACCCCCCCTTTGGCCAAGGGGACCCCCCCAAAAAACCTTAAAGCTGAGTTGCCAGCCACGAGAAGAAGGGAGGTCAGACACACCTGGTTATGCCCTGTCTTTTGGAGTTATTCTTTGTAACAATAAGATACAAAATCATTAACAAGCCTAAGGCCATCTAAACACAAAAGTTAAACCACACCTGCAGGTCATCAATTCACTTAACAGATCACTTGAGTTTGGGTATATGTCCAGTGCCGCAGTCTGTGTTTAGCAGAGACCTCCTTATCTCAAAACATTCTAAGACTTTAGACAAAGCTTCATTTCTTTAACCAACTGCAAATCAAAGAATCATTAAACCCACCTATAACCTGTAATCCCCTGCTTCCAGATGTCCTGTCTTTTCAGGCCAAGCCAATGTAGGCCTTCTATGTATTGATTTATGACTGTATGTGTTAATTCCTGTCTCCCTGAAATGTATAAAACTAAACAGCCAACCAGAGAGACCACTTGCTCAAGGCTTCTTGAGCGTAGCTCTCTGGGCCATGGTAACACACGTTCAGCTCTGAATAAATCTCTTTAAATTATTCTACAGATTTGGGGTTCTTTTCTGTTGACAGTATGCTCTGCCCCCTTGGGGAGGGAAGTGTTCCTTTCATGTTGAAATGAATCTCAGTCTTCTGCCAATTTGGAAGCCAAGGTTCACAGAAGTTGCCCAGGAAGGGGAGTTGGACGGTGTGAGTTTCATATATCAAGGAACTAGGCGATAGTATGCAGTTATTCAGTTAAACATGAGCCTAGGTGTTGCTCTGAAAGTATTCTGTAGACGTGGTTAGCATTCGTAGTAAACCAGCTGTCTTTAAAGGAGATTATTTTCAATAATCTGGGTGGGCCTCGCCCAATCGGTGGAAGAGCTTTAAGAGCAAACCGGAGGATTCCCTGAAAAAGAAGAAACTTTGCCTCAAGCCTGCAGCATCCCAAACTCCTGCTGAGTTTCCAGGGTTTCTAGGTGCCCCACAGAGTTTAGACTTGCCAACTTCCACAATCACATCAGCCACTTCCTTGAAATAAATCTGTCTATTAATTTATTCATATTCTACTCTTTCTGTTTTTCTGGAGAACCCTGACCGATAGAGATGGGAACCCAGTTCTGTTCAACTTCAAAAGGTCACATCTTGTCTCTGTGTCACGTCGTGCATACTTTGCAGACCGCCACCTGCATCTCGACCAAAAACAACCCAAGCACGTAGCTCGGCCTCAGCAAGCTTCAGCTGCCCAGAAATGTAGTTGAATATTTACGTAGATCCTTAACAACTAGATTTTGAGAATAAACTATTCCTACCACAAGGCTGCCGTGAATGGGAGAGGCTTCTGGTTTTACATATGAAGTTTTTAGTGGGTGGGAGGTGCGGTTTACTCGGTGCTTAAGAACAGTGACATGTTCTGTTCTATTCTGGGCAAGGTCACTAACTTACTGTATAACTTTAGGCAATCCCAAGTTTCACCGCCTGATTAATTACAATGCCAACCTGAGAGTCTGCTCTCCACTGCCCCCATCCACTCAAATAGCTGGCATCAAACAGTCAGATGGCCCCTCAGCATTTCAGATGTGACCTACTTTCTAGTTAGGCCTCTGGCCTTGAAGGACCCAAGACACACACACGCTCACGGTATCCGTGGAAGTTCTGCAAAGCCAATGCAGAGTAAGGAATAAGTCCTCAGCAAACAGACACTGGCTGAACTGACCCCTGCTCCTGACCCTGTCCCTAGGTGCTACTGCAAGTTAAATCTAAGACCCAGTTTCCACACTCAAGACACTGCATGCAGTTCAAAGCAGAAGATGCCAAGTCCTATAGAAGAAATGTCACAGAGTGCAACAGGGCTCAAAGGAGAGAAGAGGAAATGTTTTGGAGATGAGGTGATAGTTGAACTGAGTCTGAGAAACAGTACAAGACTTGGAAAGAACAAAAAGAAGACATTCCGGGCACAGGTAACAGAGGAAGAGGCAGGAAAGCACAGGGTTGTTTGGGGAAAAGGGAGAGAGAAAGTTTTTAGCTGGAAAGTAGGCCGCAGGCAGAGGATCAGTAGGCTGTGAGCTCAGCAGAGGCTGCTGGGGCTGGATCACACTGGCCACATGGGGGGCTTTGAATGACAAAATACTGAATTGACAGGTAATGGGGAGCTAGTGGAGGTTCCCCACACAGAAGTGGAGAGATGAAGTAGGGTATGCTTTGGAAACCTGCACGTGGCAACAGAATGGACGGGAGTAACATGGGGAGGGAGCATTATAGAGCCCCACCAGAATTATTAACAGTAGCTAATGTTGTTGAGGGCTTGACATGTACCAACCCTGCTCAACTTAACTTGCATTATCTCACTTAATTCTCACAGCTCCCCAAGGCACCCTTACCACACCATTTCACAGATAAGGGAACTAAGGCCCAGTGAGGTTAAGAAGCAGGCCCCAGATCACACAACCAGACAGTGGTGGAGCTGGGATCTACCCTAGTGGGTCTGACTCCAGTGCTAGCACATGTGACCACCAGACCAGCCTGCCTCCAAGTAGGGGCCTGGACCCTGCACGCTGAAGTCCCACTGTCTGAGTGACACAAGAGACATCGATACAAGAGACAATGATACAAGAGACATTGCAAAGATGATTTCTCTGTAACCTACCAATTAAGGGGAAGGACTGACTGAAAAAAGATGGTTTGAGCTAAGATTCCTCAGAGTTGCATATCGAGCCAACAAAATCCCAGACTTCCTCATGAGCATATACCAAGTCCTGCTGCAAATGATCCTACACACAGACCAGCTGCTTCCAGAAACAGCTGACTTAGCTTTTAATGGTTGGCACCTATTTGCTAAGCAAGCTGAACACCCCAAGACTTCACAGAAGGGAGACGGTGACTATTATGGATTAAATTGTGTCCTCCCCCCCCAAATTCATGTTGAAGTCCTAACCCCCAGTACCTTAGAATGTGATCTTATTTGGAAACTGGGTCATTGCAGATGTAATTAGGTAAGACAGTAGGGTGGACCCTTATCCAGTATGACTAATGCCCTCATAAAATGGGAAATTTGGATATAGACATGCCCACAGAGAACACCATGTGAAGATGAAGGCAGAGATCAGATGACGCAGAAGAAACCAAGGAATGCCAAAGACTACAGCAAACCACGGAGAGAGTTGTGGAACAGATTCTCCCTAACAGCCCTCAGGAGGAACCAATCCTTGCCAGCACCTTGATCTTGGACTTCTCACCTCTAGAACTGTGAGACTATTTAAGCCACCTGTTTAAGTCACCCAGGCTGTGGCATTTTGTTATGGCAGCCCTAACAAACTAATACAAAATAATGACCTAGGCTATCCTTTCCCATACAAAGACTATAAGTACAGCTTTACACGTCCTTCAGTAAGCAAAATGAAAACCCTACTGTGAAACTTTGTCTTACTGCAATGTATGTACTAATAAGACCATTTTTTTTTTTTTTTGAGACAGAGTCTCACTCTCTTGCCTGGGCTAGAGTGCCATGGCACCAGCCTAGCTCACAGCAACCTCAAACTCCTGGGCTCAAGTGATCCTCCTGCCTCAGCCTCCCAAGGAGCTGGGCTACAGGCATGCACCACCATGCCCAGCTAATTTTTTATATTTTTAGTTGTTTGACTAATTTCTTTCTATTTATCGTAGAGACAGAGTCTTGCTTTTGCTCAGGCTGGGCTCGAACTCCTGACCTCAAGCAATCCTCCCTCCTCCTCCTCGCCTCCCAAAGTGCTAGGATTACAGGCGTGAGCCACCGTGCCCGGTCTAATAAGACCATTTCTATATCAAACAGGTAGTGTCCGAAATTTCATCTCTGTGCAATTGCATTAGGGGCTATCTCTGATTTTGAAATGAAAAATAATTTTTACTTTAGCAATCAAGGACCTTCTTTCTTTTCCTTTTACTCTTAGAATTAAACATTGACTGTATCAGATTCTCTCTGTCACCTGAAGAAACAAGCCAAATGAGCAGTAACTCAGGAGGCCCTACTGGGCCCCTCACCCAGCAGAGAGCACCATCACAGAGCATGAAGCCACATCAAGAGGACTATGGGCTTGCTCAGTTCCAAAATGGCAACAGCTCTCTAAATACTGAAGCTGACTGCAGGCAGCCACCACATCTTCAAATATGTGTGTACACATTCCATTCTACAAAAGCTGTCCATTTCTTTAACCCGCATACACAGTCGGTGTTACTTTGCAGAAAACAAGCTTCACTGGTTGTAAGTGAATGGCTGTGGTTACGAAGGGAAGCGTGCCCGCCCTGGGGAATTCCAGAGTTTAATGGGCCCCACTAAGAAGTGAAACCAAAGCCATACTTCTTTTGACACTTGGAAAATCCCCTACTCTAAAATTTTTTTTGCGCATGTACAAAAATATGGAAAATTATACTATAAAACTAGAATCTCCTATAACTCCCATGTAGGCTACTGGAATGCTCTATTAGAACAAACAAACAATCCCCCATCTACGAAAAAAAAACAACCTATGATGTTTCTGTGAGGCACAGCATTCCCTCTCTCTAAAATTAATAGTAACTAACATTTACTAAGCACTCGAGACATACTTTTCAATTCTCATATCGACCCTATAAGGTAGGCACCTTTAATATTCCCATGGTGCAGATGAGAAAAATGAAGCACAGGCCAAGCAACTTGTCCAAGGTCAAGGAGCTACAAGTGGCAGAGCCGGGGCTTCAAAACCAGGCAGTCTGGTTCCAACACACCTCACTCTCTTAACAACCAAAGCCAGACACACAAACAAGCAAAAGGACAAAGTGAGTGGGGGCAAGTGAAGGTGGGTGGGCTGAGGATGGAGCAGCTATAATCCAGGCACTGTGCTGGCCTCCCCCATTTAATTAGCACAGCTCCCCTCTGGGGCAAACATTACTCTCCCACCTGACAAATGAGACACTGAGGCTTGGAGTGAAGCCAGCAGCCAGTGGGAGGGCGCCTTAGCAAGTGATGCTCAGAAACCCAGGTCTGGTGTTGTTTTCCCAGCCCATTTCCTCCCACAGTGGTAACCAAAGTGTTGTCTCTGCATTATGAATGGGAAAATCTGCTTTTAAAAGTCAGTCTAGCATTGGAGAGTAGTTACCCTGGGGAGTTGGGGGTTGAGTCACCCCATCTCAGATGCACATGTGTCCAGAGAGCCTGTGTATAGTGTAGGTGTTTAATTAATGCGCCAGACTGGAAGTAAGGAGATTGAGGTTCTGGTCTCGCTTCTGGCATTAATTAACATGTGGCTTTAGCCAAGTGCCCTCACTTCGCCAGGCTTCTATTTTCCTTAAGCAAAATTGGATACAAGAATGCCTGGCCTGCGAACCTTACAAGGCTGATGTAAAAAGCATTACCAACAAAGGTGAATCAGCTGTGAGAACCGTAAGGCGCTTGACATGTGATCTTTGCCGGGTTGAACATAACCAGGTCATCCCAGCAGCTACCACGATCCAGCAGGTGCACACATGGCAGCCCAGCCGGAGAAGGCACAGCCAGGAGAATGGCCCTGTGTGAACTTCACTTTCTCCCCTCGGAAAGCTGAACTCAAGGCCTCCAAGATGATCCGGGTGGGCCTGGCTCCCAGAGCTGCCACCAAGGCAAGCCTGCCGGTCCAAATAGGTATTAACCAGGTGATGCTCACAGGGAAGTCCTTGAAGAGCAAACAGCCTCCCTTCTCCCTCCCCCCAGGTTGCCATACTCTCTGCAATCAGGCTGGCATCCAACTGTGACGGGGGCAGGGTGCCACCTGGTACAGCATCCAGCACCGGTTTCAACCCTGTATGTTACAGAACCAGGAAAGGTGGGAGTGCAGCACGTACCCACTTATTAGAAGGCAAAAGATTCAGGTGAGACAGACCCCATAGGGTCCAGATCAGATGAGTAAGTGGGGATGAGCCTTTTACCCCAGCAAGGAGACAGTGGGAGACCCCCCAAGACTCTCTCACTAACCCCCACCCCATTAGTTGTGGTCCCCAGGAAGAGGACGGGATCAGATTAGCATAACAGTGAATCACCTAGCACTTCGACACAATGACCCCTCCTGGAGAGGGTGGAGAAGCTCGTCTGGCAACTGCCTACACAAACGGCAATTCTGAAGAGCAGCAAACAAACCAGTTTAGCCCCAATTCCCATTTTGCATAAGACTGCACTCCGCGAAAACAACATCCGGAGAACACTTGTTCACCACCAGTTGATAACACAATTTGGGCCAAGAAAGAATTTTAAACATGCCCTGGAAGGGGGTTTTGCAGAAACTGATGTTAAGCGTCCTTAGCTCTAAGGCACCACACAGCACCAGACACTTCAGTCAACAGACGCTGGAGAACTTTGTAACAAGAAATTAACCCAGAGGAGGGATTGCACCCATAAACCAAAGGGAACTTGTTAGTCACTAAGCGACTGTCAGGGTACCTGTTTTCTTTACGCTAATAAGGGGTTACACAAGCTCCAGGAGGGAGGGTTGTGAGGTGCGGGGGATGGTTAGGTCACAGAGGGACTGTCTGCCGGCTGGCCTTGAAATGGACACTGCCCACAGCTCCTCAATCCCGGGAAGCAGCAAAAACGAATCGCGATTAGGTTAAAATCAGGGCGAGGGCCACTGCGTTAGGCGATGAGAGTAGGTCTTAAGAGAGACGTCCATCCTCCCAGCGGCCAAGGCCGCCTTCATATCCTCGAGGTCGGGCACAGGTTCCAGAGATAAACATCTCAGTGTGCTTTAGGTAAAGAACGAAGACAGTGAGCGAGAAAATTAACACCATCCCTTTTCCCCTCTCCACTCCCAAACTGCTCTTGCCAGCAATCAAACACAAGAAAAGGTGTTCTCTACAACCAAATGGATAATTTCACCCACTTCTTGTTCAAAAAACCTAAAAACCATCGCGACATCACCAACTGCCTTCATTTGGGTTCACAAAAAGAAGGAGCAGCATCGTCTGTGAACCTACCACTACCCAGGAGCTAAGAGTGGAAGGACAGGGTGGTGTGCCCTCTGCCCAGGTCCGTCACAAGCCCGGAGGGCTTCCTGGCCGGTGTAGACGCTGCACCTCGCTCGCGTCCCGCTCTGCGGTTACCTCGCTCGCGCCTCCGCCGGCGTCCGGCACCTGAGCCGTCGGTTCCGCGGGTGCCTTCTCCTCCTCCTCCTCGGCGACCAAGGGGCTACTCTGAGTTGCTCGCGGGTCCCCGCCGCCCCCCTGCGCAGCCTGGCTGCCGCCGTCCAAGCTGGTGCCGACTCCTCCGGCCGACGAGGCAGCGGCGCCGAGCAGCCCGTGGGCCGCGTCCGCGTCCCCCGCCGCCACGCTGTGCACCAGCCACGCATCCACCCGGGTGCGGGGGATGAACGGGACCCCTAGCGCGCGCACCTCCCGGAGCAGCTGGCCCTCGGGCGCCGCTGCGGGGTCGGGCTCCCGGCCCTTGGGGTGCAGCCAGCCGGCGCGCCCCCACCCTCCCAAGGCCGGGAAGGGGCTGAGCGCGTGGGCGGAGCTGGCCGGGCCGCCCGGGAGCAGCAGCTCATCCCGGAGCAGGGTGGGCGGCGGCAGCAGCAGGTAGAGGTCCAGGTCCACGTGGAGCCCCGCCAAGCTCAGCAGGACGGTGAGGTGCAGGAGGTCGCCGCCGGCCGACCACCACGGCTTCAGGTGCTTCATTGCCCGCTGCGCGCCCGCGGACGCCCCTCCCGGCTCCCGGGGTCCCGGCGCTCCAGCCGCCGCGGTGGCACGTGAGGACACCGCGCGCCTGCGGCACCTGCCTGGAACAGACTGAGAAGCGAAACAATGGACCCTGGCGCGCAGTGGCCGTCGCGGGCGCCCGGAGCCGGGCACAAAGGCGCTCCCTCGGAAGCCGGCACGGTGCCTGGCGCGCCGGGGATCGGGAGGAGCGGGGGAGGAGCCACCTGCGCGCGGAGCCCGCCCGCCCCGGCGCCCCGCAGCCCCGCGCCTCGGACAAGCCCCGCCCCCGGCCGCGGCCGCGCCCGGCGGTCCGCAGCCCCGGCGCCCCGCAGCCCCGCGCCTCGGACAAGCCCCGCCCCCGGCCGCGGGCGCAGCTGCCGGGAACACGCCCACGGCGCCCGGAGCCCGTGCCCGTGGGAGGGGCCGCGCGGGGCGGGGCTCCGGAGCTCAAAGCCTCTTTATGCCGCGGGAACGCGAAGCTTTCTGGGAGTAGAAGTTGTTGGGGCACTGAGACGCCCCTTGCAACCCTGTGGCCCGGAGCTTGGCCATCCTAGCTGAAAGCTTGGGGTGGGAGTGGGGGGAGCGGGAGGTAGTTGGGTGGGAAGGGACAGGACGTGTAGACTGGGGGAAAGTAACTGGGCATCCGCGGGGCACCTGGCAGCTTGCAAAGGGCTTCTACCCACGTGAGGACAGTTGGCTGGCGCGGTGGGTAAGAGTAGGCTGGGGAGTTTGACCCTGGATTCAGATCCCAGGCCCACCACCCGCCGCTTTGATGTGTTACTGACCTCTGTCTCAGTTGCCTTATCTGTAAAATGGGAATGATAGCACCTGTCAAATAGAGATGTGGTGTGGTCAGATGAGATATTACATGGAATGTCTGGAGTTTGACATATAAACACCACAGTTGCCATTGGGATCAAACCGTATTCACCCTCCACCCTCCACTCTCCACCCCTCTCTGTCAGTATTCCCCTCGTGCTCTGCACATTGCAAGGCCTTGTCTATTGTATCCTTTGCTATTTAACTGAGGGCCAAGAGCTCCAGCTCTCCTGTTAACCCCATGTGAGTTCACATCCCCCCTTCACCACTTACCAGCTTGGACCTTGAACAAATCTGCCGCTTTCTCTGTGCCTCAGTTTCCTCACTGTAAAATGAGACTAACAATAGAACTTCCCCAGCAGCGTTTTGTGAGCCCCAAATGAGATAATGTGTGTAGACCACTAACCACAGGACTGGATGGGTGGGAAGTGCTCTCTGTTACCCACTGTTTGTGTTACCCATCCTCCAAGGCTTCGCTCCAAAGCTACATCCTCTGAATTTTCACCAGTCGGGTTTAATCTCTCCTGCATCTGTTCTCCCACAGTTCTTTCTCCATATGCCAACATCGCAACACTTGGCCCATTCAACTTTGTTCTGTAGTTAAGGATTGGTCTCATTTGCCCATTATGAGTTCTTGAGGGCAAGGAACCTGTTTGGTTCACCTTTGTGCCTGCACAGTACACAGTACGGGCCTTGCAAATGTAGGTTTTACTAACCCTCACTCCCTTCACTGGGGGGATGCCCAGTTGAGGGCTGGCAATTGTGTAAGAAGTTGAGCAAGAGTTGTTTTTAAAAGCCCCTTCTTCCACCTGGTTTTCTCTTCTCTCTCCTGGGGCTGGTGTGGTAAGAGATTTCAGTTTGCCCATTGGGGCCAGGGCACATTATTAAGTTTGACCACCATACATTTACGTATCTAAGAAGCAGATTTCCTAAAGTTGCTTTTGCTTTAGGCCTTGGAGGATGCGATAGGGGTAAAGATGGTAAAGAGGATGAAGAGAGGTGACTGCCAGGTAGGCAAGATCTGGGACAGAAGCCCTGTTCACAGCACTTAGTCTCTGAACAGGGGATTCGGGATCTTGGCTCAGTAAATGCCTGCTGCATTCAGGTTTTTACTGAGGATCTACTAACTGCTTCATGCTGTGCTGGAGGCGTGAAGTATATGAAACGGAGTACTTTTGTTCAGTACGTTTATAGTTTCCTTAGGGAAAGTATCAAAGGTGAAACGCTTTGATACGAGAGAGAGAATATACTCAAATTCCAAAACATTGAGATGGATCTGATCTTGGAAGCTAAGCAGGGTCGGGCCTGGTTAGTACTTGGATGGAAGACTGACTGGGCATATCGGATGTTATAGGCTTAAAAAAAAAACCCAAATATTGAGATGCAAATTACTTTGAGGTTTATATAGGAACTACTATAAACCAGTTGAGAGCAGAGGTGGCACCTTCTTCAAGGTGGTACCTTCCAGAATCTTGCACGCAGATGATGCTCAAAAAATGTTTTTTTGGCTGGGTGCCATGGCTCACACCTGTAATCCTAGCACTCTGGGAGGCCGAGGTGGGAGGATCACTCAAGGTCGGGAGTTCGAAGCCAGCCTGAGCAAGAACGAGACCCTGTCTCTACTAAAAAATAGAAGGAAATTAATTGGCCAACTAAAAATATATAGAAAAAATTAGCGGGGCATGGTGGCACATGCCTGTGGTCCCAGCTACTCAGGAGGCTGAGGCAGAAGGAACGCTTGAGCCCAGGAGTTTGAGGTTGCTGTGAGCTAGGCTGACGCCAAGGTACTCTAGCCCAGGCAACAGAGTGAGACTCTGTCTCAAAAAAATGTGTGTGTTTTTTTTTCAGTTAAATTGAGGAAATCACATTTGAGATGTGTTTTGAGGGGTCTCAATAGACTAGGAATAGGAAGAGCATTCAAACTGTTTTTGCAACATGAGTTGGGAGTGGGCTGACCCCTCACCATTTTATGAATGTGAACTATAACTATATAGTATCCGTCAGACTGCACACTTCAAAAGTGTGGCTTTAACTCTGTAGCTTCCAGACTGGTGGAAAGGAGGCCACACAGGAGACTCATAATCAACCCTACATACCTTGACATAATCACAGCAAAAGGTCCCCTTTTAGAAAGAGAGAACAGAGTGAGATTAGAGGAAAGACTTCTATTATATTTAGTTTTATGTCTAGAATCCCTCCATCCAGGAATAGGCAAGTGAAAAGTCCAAACCATTGTCTTGTAAGAACCTACAATTAGAAATCCTTACATCTGTGCTACTTGAAGAATGGTCTGAAACTGGTGCCAGCATGTGAACTATTTGTTTCTGATCCAAATGAGGTAATAGAATTGAGAGTGTTTAGAAATTTTTATAGCAATTTGACGTCATTGCAACATCCAACACATCATCTGTGGGCTTGTTTTTTTTTTTTTTTAAGCCTTTGTAATTTTATTTTATTTTTCTAGACATGAATTTCTATTTTATTTTACAGAAGTACTAACCTGCAACAAAATGAAAATTAAGAAAAAAAAGAAAAGTTGGTCCTGCATAGGAGTTAGCTGGAGAAGCACTACCTTTTATGGTATCCTTGTTAGGTAGGCAGCTTGTACGATGACTTCCAGTGGTTCCTTTCCCTTGAGTGTAGGCCGGATCTGGTGGCTTGCTTCTAACAAATAGAATATGGCAAAAATGATGGGGATGTCATTTTTGAGATTAGATTACAAAAAGATAGAGTGGCTTTTGTCTTGCTTACCTCTCTCTCCATCTTTCCTACCCTTCCTCTTGGAGCTCGCTCTGGGGGAAGGAAGCTGCCATGTTCTGAGTAATCCTACATAGATGGCCATGTGGCAAGGCACCGGTGTCTCTGGCCTGCCAACAGCCACTTGAGCGAACTTAGAAGCAGATCCTTCCCTGGGTGAGGCTTGAGATGACTGGAGCCCTAGCTGACTCCGGATTGCAGCTTGGGAAAGACCCTGAGCCAGAGGATGTATCTTCACTGACCCAGAAATGAATCTGAGATAATAAATGTTATTTCAAGTCACTACATTTTGGGGTAATTTATTAGATAACTAGATAACTAATATACCCTGGGCTAATATAACTAATATACCCTGTGTTAGAGGTGGACATCAGACAAGTTGAAGGAAAAGCTAAAAATGCAACTGCAGTCGTGCAATGAATAATTTATAACTATAAAATGATATTACAGTAGTACATTCTGGTCCCTAGATGCAATTATCTGGCTTAAATGTAACATTATATGCACATTTAATGTACATTATAATGTACATTTAAATGTAGCATTATAACTTGCCATGAACCACAGTTACCACAAAAACATAGTTAACCCTAGCTGGTGTGAGGTGAGCACACCATGGCAATTTCTTGTAAACATGTAAATCGGAAAAACTTTTTTTGTGTTGCTGGGCTGGAGTGCAGTGGCATGACCATAGCTCACTGCAGCCTCAAACTCCTAGGCTCAAGCAATCCTTTTGCCTCAGCCTCTCAAGTAGCTGGGACTATAGCCCTCACCACCATTCTCAACTAATTTTTCTTTTCTTTTCTTTTTTGTTTTTTTGAGACAGAGTCTCGCTTTGTTGCCCTGGCTAGAATGCCGGGGCATCAGCCTAGCTCATAGCAACCTCAGACTCCTGGGCTCAAACAATCCTCCTGCCTGAACTTCCGGAGTAGCTGGGACTATAGGTTCACACCGCCATGCCCACTAATTTTTTCTATTTTTAGTGCCCTGCAATTTGTTCTATTTTTAGTAGAGATGGAGTCTCGATATGCTCAGGCTGGTCTCAAATTCCTGAGGTCAAGCGATTCTCCTGCCTCAACATCCCAGAGTGCTAGGATTATAGGCCCTCACTGCCACGCCCAGCCTAAATTGTCAAATTTATTTTGTAAAGACTCGCTATATTGCTCAGGCTGGTCTCGAACTCCTGGTCTCCCAAAGTGCTGGGATGACAGGCGTGTGCCACTGTGCCTGGCCAAAATAGGAAAACTTTTTCTCTTCTCTGTGTTCTCACACAACACTTCTGACAACCAATGTGTGGGTTTTCCACACCAAGCAATTCTCCGGTTCTCCGTGGCCACCAACCGGGTGCCCATCAAGTTAACTCAATTCTGACTCTATCTAGCTAAAGTTAGCAGACCCCACAGGTTGAGGCTCACTCAGTCTCACAAGACTCCTCCATCTCAGGTCTGTGGCTCCTGAACATTTGACTGATGGGTTATAAATTGGGGGTTCTCATGACCCCCTCCTCAGGTTTGATTATTTGCTAGAATGGCATACAAAACTCAGGGAAACATTTACTCATGTTTCTCTATTATAAAGGATACACTAAATAGAAAAGATGCACAGGGCGAGGTGTGGAAGAGGGACACGGAGCTTCCCTGCCCTTCCCAGTACCACCCTCCCAGCACCTCCACCTGTTCAGCAGCCCAGAAGCTCTGCAAACCTTGTCCTTTTGTTTTTTTACAAAGGCCTCATTATGTAGGCATGATGGATTACATCACTAGCCTCCCCTCTCCAGCGATTGGGGGTGGGTGTAGGGGACAGTGTGGAGCCGAAAGTTCCAACCCTCTAATCACATAGTTGGTTCTCCTGGCAACCAGCACCCCCATCCTTAGGGGCAGTCCAAAGGTCACCTCATTAACATAATTAAGTTCTGGTGTGGTTGACAGGGGCTTGTCATGAATAACAAAAGATGCTCCTTGCACCTGTATTGCTCCAGAGCTATTTCAGGAGGGGAGCCAGTGACATAAACCAAATATTATAACAAAAGATGCTCCTGTCATTCTTATTACTTAGGAAGCTATAAAGGTTTTAGAAGCTCTGTCCAGGAGCTAGGGATGAACGCCAATTATATGCATTTCTTATTGTATCACAATATCATAGCCTCTATCCAAAATCAGCAAGAAAGAAAACAGGCCAAGATCTTGGCATCCATCCTAGAGTGATGGAGACAGGTGACCTTTCAGACAATTCAAAATAGCTGTCCTGAAGCAGCTCAATGAACTTCATGACAACACAGAAAAAGAATTCAGAAACCTATCAGAGAAATTTAACAGAGATTGAAATTTTTAAAAAATCAAGCAGAAATCTTAGAGCTTAAGAATTCAGTTGACAAACTGAGAAATGCATCAGAGTCTCTCAACAGCAGAATTGACCAAGCAGAAGAGAGAATTAGTGATCTTGAAGACAGGCCATTTGAAAATACACAGAAGATAAAATCAAAAAGAACAAATAAGAATGAAGCATGCCTACAAAATCTAGAAAATAGCTTCAAAAGAGCAAATATCAGAGTTATTGGCATTAGAGAGGAGGTAGAGAGAGAGATTGGGGTAGAAAGTTTGTTCGAAGATCTTGACATCCTTCTTTTAGAAAGTTTCTGTTGATCTTAGCCCTAGGAAATTTAAATCTGTGCTATAAATCCTAGGATTAAGCAAAATAGCCTAGTAAAGTTCAAGACATAAATTAAGATATAAGTTGTATTATCTAGGAGGAAGAATTAAATATAGCTAGTTCAAAACAGGCATAGTCATTACAATTTAAAAGAGTCTGGAATCATTAAGACATTTTGCCAAAAGCTTCCACAAAAGAGAATAGGCTTATGAATGGCCTAATTTGTTGTCTAGTACTGATCTCAGTGATGATGAATCAATAGATAACTAATAAAGAGGAAAGGTTTATACTTTTTTCTTCTTAGTCTGTGATCTTCTGCAAACTTGACTTTAAAGTTGCTTTGGACGTTATGGTGATGATGATCCCCATCCGTGTACTCATACACAGTGTTCGCGATAGCAGTCCAGTGTGCCAAAGCCTGCTCTGTGCTTGGCCCTTTTTCCTGCATTTACTCCTCACAGCCAGTCTATGAAGTAGGTATTACCTCCATTTTATACTGTCTAGAGGAGGACACTGAGGATCAGGGATATGCCACCCTCTGTCCAAAAACATGCCCTTCAGTAGATGGCAGAGTCAGAATTCAAACCCACAATCTGTCAATTTCCACTGCCCTCCACCTCTCCTCCGCACTGCTTTGCTTTCATTACTGTTCTGTTGCATTACTCAGCCTCCTCCTCCTGCAAGAGGGAATGCCCTTCTTCAATCAATACATCTTCCCCCAGCTTTTGAAAGTGTAAAACCAGCTAAAATATTCTTTTCTTTCCTGCAAAATTTCAGAAGAAATGGAGTATTGGTTTTGTCCTTCTGTACGATGCCTCTCTTTCTTGATCTTTTAGAAACGAAAAAGAACCAACCCTGTATTTAAGAGCACTTTATCTTATTGCTTGACTCTGGTGACTCCTGCACGATTTTGAGGCCTATTGATCCATGCCAACTTCATTACCATTAATGACATATATTAAGTACCCATTGGTGACAGTCACTGGGATACAAAGACAGTCAAGGCAAGAGCTTGCAGTCCTATTAGGGAAGCGGGATGTGTACAGGTTGCAATGCTCACCACTGATTTAGGAGACTGAGACTGCTCATGCAAGAAATATGTTTGTTTAAGGGGAGGCCTATACCAGAGAAATCACAGGCTAAACAGGCATGCTGCCTCCCACCTAGTCTCTGTGGTGTGAATTGGAATTCTTACATTCGGGTTCAGGGTCCAGAGTCAGTAGTTGCCATGCATGTGTGTATGTGTGTGTGTGTGTGTGTGTGTGTTTGTGTGTGTGTGTGTTTTTGTGTGTAAGGGGATTGCAGAGGACAGAAAAGGAATTAGAAAGAGGAGTGTTTAGGGCACATTGGAGTAAGGCTGATCAGTGGGGAATACAAAGTACCCCATAATATGTGTGTACCTTGGGTTAGCTAAACAAATTGTTACCAATAAATGTTTAGTTATCAAAGTTTTGCTATTTATAAACAACTCTGTGATAAATTTCGCTTATACATATTTTTGGGTACATATCTGATTTTCATACAATGTAAACTTTCCAAAATTTCTGAGTCAAAGAATATAAACTTTCGGAGGAGGGTTAGATATATTCTGCTAATTGCTGCCCTGAACGAATAGTATATGGTGACTCTCGGTACTTTTTAAAAACGGTATATCCTAATTTTGAATTGCAGTCAATATTCCCTGATTATCTGAATGAAATGAACATAACCTTGCTGTTACTAACACCTAAACTAGAAAGGATCTTTTAAAGAAAGTTTCGTATAGTAATTTGAATTTTTTTGGAGAGTATTTTTCTTCTGTTTTTCTCCTCTCTACCTTTCTATCCTGTCTCATTTCGGTCTGAAAGTGCTTTGTGATCACAGTGTCCCACTATTATTTACTACTTTGTGACTTTTATAAGCACCAATTGACTGTGAACATCATTCTCCATGATGTATGTCTTTTTATAATTCAGTGCTAAGTGCATTTCCCCAGTTCTATTGAACTATATCTCTTCAAACCTTTGGGATTGTCAAGATGAGTTAGGAAGAAGCAGGTTCTGGATCTGTTTCCTGCAAAAGTGTCAATATTTATTAAAACAAAGAGTACCTCCAATGGAGTGCCATCTGTCCTTGTCTTTGAGGGCCTGCCGGAAAATTTTTTCCCAGCCAAGAGACGAGATTATTTGGCATAACTAACACTGAAATTCAGTGCAGTGGTTTACAGATCAGAAACTGGCTTATGTAAACAGACGCCTTGCTATGTAAAAACTGGAAGTATAGAAACGTGCTTCATTTTTGAAACCATAAATGAAGAATTGTTTACTTTACCAAAGTATTTCCCCATAAGAATCCTTTAATCAGCAGGGTTACCTAGTTGATTTAAACATTCAGATCATTCACAAATTACTTTGTTGTACAGCTTTTTAAGAAGTGAGCAGTGGATAAGGTGAGACATGAGTCCCCTCTCACAGTTTTATTACTTCAACCATGCTGCCTCGAAGCAAGTAAGCTCACTGCTTTCTCCTATTACATACGGAGACTCAGTTCTGTTGCAGTTTTCAGGCTGAAACGTAGCATGCAAAGTCCAGTGCATTAAGAGTTGTAGTCCCCAGACTATGATGGTACCTCATCCCTATCACCATTAGCCCTTGTTTTAGGAGGCAAGTATATCCAACATGCTTCTGAGTATGGTCACTTACCTGGTCTGAGTTCTGAAGGAGAGTCTTAGCTACCTGGTTTCCTTTGGAGAAAACTCAAGATTCCTTCCAACAGCAACCTGAAGGGTAATGCAAGATGTCATCTTGGGTAAGAGCTGTAAAAGCTGATCATACAAATTGGATCATTTTTGTCATACCCAACTAAAACAGAGTTGAGAGGCCAAAAGGAAAAAGCACTCAGTGTATATAACATTGCTCCAAGAATGTAAGTTCTGAGAGCCTGGCTGCTGAAACTGCCTGCTGTAACCTGAAACCAGTTTTATCTAATTGCTGCTGGAACAACCTGCTGCTACTCTAAGACTAGTTTTACTCATTGCCATCACCTACCAATCAAAACTTGCCAGCTCCCCAAAACCTTACTCATGCCAATAAACTTTCTCAAAAAGCACTACAAAATATTTCTCTCCCTTTTTTAGATAAAATCTCTAACCTTCTCTTCGCTCTTCAGACAACCCAACCAAGATCACCCAGTCTGCACACATGCCCCAAATTGCAATTCTTTCTCCCTAAATAAAATGTTTTAATTTCAGAGATTCATCTCTATATTTTATTTGACTTCAACAGAGTGAAATCCTTCAAAATATATGAGACAGCTTTCAGAGCCCATTTCTCCTCCTACAGTGTATTGCTTAGTGGGATGTTAGCCACTCAGAATTTCTATCCATCTGTGTCTCATCCAGCTCTCCCTGAAAATGAATCAATCTGGGATCCTCAAACCATCTGTAGAGTCTGACTCAACAACACTCTTACAACCCCGAAACACTCCATCCAGCTCTGTCATTCCTTCCAAGTTTATTTCTAACGGATACTGCCACCCCTCACTTGGACCTTCATCTACTCTCCCTCTTCCCAAGGAAAGAACAGTCATCCCAGCCTCAATCAGGGCTCTAGGCCAGATCCTCCAGTTGTCCCTCCCTTGGGTTGGAATAGACCTTCTCTCACTGCAAGGCAATCAGCTGCCCTGCACACATCTTAGCCCAGTTTAACTAGATCCAGCTAATCCCTGAGGATCTTGGCCACCATGGAACCACATAATTCCAGCCTCCAAAGATGCATGGGCATGCTTACCAAATAGGCCTTTAGTGTGGGCTAAATTAATTAATCAATTCAATAAATATTTAATGAGCACCTGCTATGTGTCAGGCATTGCTCTGAGAACATTGTTCTGTGAATAAAACAAAGCCCCAGATGGAAAGAAGCTTGCAATCTACTTGGGAGAGATAGATGATAAACAAATAATTTGTCAGGGGATAATAAGAGCTAAAAAGAAAAATAAAGCAGGGGACAAAGGATGAAGAGGAGGAGAGTGGTGGTATGTATATGGCACACCCATGTGTGTTACATAGGGAGGTGGGAGGTGGGCACTTTCCTTGACTCCAAAGGAGATTGCCATTCTGCTTTATAAGCATGGTATTTTTGAATGGCCTTATTCTCTGCCTTCCTCTTCTTCTTCTTTTTCTGTTTTGCCAAAGGCATAGATAAGAGCGATCATCTTTCTCTTCTTGTGTTGACGAGGCCCAGCTCCTGTCAGCGGCTGGACGGCTGTCCTTTTGAGATGGAACACCATGCCTTTAATTAAGTTGCAGAGTTCTGACCGAGAGATGTTTGAAGTTGATGTGGAAATTGCCAAACGCTCTGTGACTATCAAGACCATGTTGGAAGATTCAGGAATGGATGATGAAGGAGATGATGACCCAGTTCCTCTACCAGATGTTAATGCAGCGATATTTAAAATTTTTCATTCAGTGGCAGGCTCACCACAAGAATGACCCTTCTCCTCCCGAGGATGTTGAGAAAAAAGAAAAGTGAACAGACAGTATCTCTGTTTGGGATCAAGAATTCCTGACAGTTGACCAAGGAACGCTTTTCAAACTTATTCTGGCTGCAAACTACTTAGGCATCAAAGGTGTGCTTGATGCCACATGCAAAGCTGTTGCCAGTGTGGTCAAGGGGAAAACTCTTGACTGAAGAGGAGGAAGCCCAGGTAGGCAAAGAGACCCAGTGACGTGAAGAGAAGTGAAGTGCTGTGCCTGACACTGTAACACTATAAGGATTGTTCCAAATACTAGTAGCACTGCTCTGTTTATAATTGTTAATATTGGACAAACAGTAGACAAATGCAGCACTAAGTCGATTGTATTAGCAAAATTGTCCTCACTGTCTGTGTAGTTTGAGTACAGATGCTAAACCTGTGGCTGACTTTCTTCTAGTATGATCGGAAGTTTTTTTTTTTTTTCTTTGCTCTGAATAAAACCGAACTGTTCTCTATAGAAAGTGGCATTTTGGGCTTCCTCTCTTTTTTATAAAGCAATTTCTGCCTAGTTTATTGTTCAGTTAACTTGAGTGACCTTTCAAAAGTTGGCATTGTACATAAAACAACTTGCAAAAAGTTTTCTGAACGAGAATCAACAAATTCTAGTTCAGAAATACCATCTTTTTTTAAGTTTCAAAATATTATTGGGGGAGCAAATGTTTTGGTTATGTAAATTGCTTTTGTACTGTTTGAGTCAAAGTTAAGTGTGCCCATCCCCCAAATAGTGTGCATTGTACCCACTGGGTGTGAATTTACCCATTCCCTCCTCCCACCTCCCAGCTGCTTGATTTCCAATGAATGTTATTTCCATATGAGCAGAAATATTATCTTAATTTATGAGTTGGAAACTAGAGAAAGGCTGCTTAAAGCAGACATTCTAAGTGGGGTCATGGGAATGTCTTTCTGCCTCCTATAGTCAAGGGTATTGGTCAGCCTGTACATAGTAGAGCTCCCTCAATTGGATCTGAGGACTTGGTTTTTGTTTTTTTTTTTAATTTTTAATTTTCTTCACTTTGAATATATGGCCTAGAGACCCAGTTCCTTCCTAGCTTGTGTTTTTTTTTGGGGTGGGGGGAGGAGAAATATAACTGGATGATTTGTTAGTTTTTCTATTAAATAAAAGACACTTAATACCTGCCCCTCCCAAGAATGTTATTTTCTTTCCTAAAATATGGCAGAAAAGATGGAAAGCAAATATAAAAATCCTGATCTTATAATCTTTAAGTCCAATTTAACATCCTGTGTCTCAAAGAGGTTGGATTACTAGAAAATTAAGTCCCTGTGTCCAAGACTTTGGGTACTTCTCTACATTCTGCTATTCAGCAATATATTTTTTTATTTTTAATTTTTTTTAAAAATAAAAATTCCCTGCCTTTTAAAAATTTTTTGGCTTGCTAACTGGAGCAGGAGTATTTTTTTAATTCCTTATCATGAACATTTTCAAACTTAATACAAAATTAGAACACCGAGCTCCAAGCAATTATGGATTCAAGGCTAATCTCATTTCTTCTATACCGCCATCCGTTTTCCTCCCCTTTCTTACACTGAATTATTTTAAGGCAAATCCTCTCATATCCTTTCATCCATGAATGCTTCAGTATGTATCTCTAAAAATAAAATCCTTTCATTTTTGCATCACCACAAGACCATTATCGCACCTAAAAATTTAACAATAATTTCTTAAAATCATCCAGAGTCCAGTCAGTCATCATTTCCCTCATTGTCTCATTGACACTTTTTAAAAAAATAATTGATTTGTTTAAATCAGGATCCAAATATTGCACTTGGTTGATAGATCTTATAAATATTTTTAAATCTGACTATTTGCCCTCCATCTTTTTTTTTTTCTCTCTCCATTTGTTGTCATTTAATTGTTGAAGAAATCCAGTCATCTGTTCTTTGGAGTTGTTGAATATGTTCCACTTAGCTCCTATTTCCTACAGACAGTAGCTAGCTCTAGAGACATAATGAAGTGGGAATTTTTTGGTGACTACCTTATAGGAGGTGCAGAGGACTTCCCATTGCATCCCAACCGGAGGCACCTCCTGCCCTGTTGCCTCTCTTTTTTGTGGTGTTAGGATTGATGGGTGGATTTTGTTGGCGTCAGCCTGATCCATCCATGCTATAGTACCCCGTTGGCCTTTTCATCGGGTGGTCCTATCTGGCATCAACAGTTACTGCCTGTTTCAGTGGGGTTCCAACAGCATGCCTTTCATAGAGGTACGGTGCTTTGACCATTTTGCTTTTAGTTAACATAAATGCAGCACTGTTATGGGCAACAAAGTTCATGGGACTCTCTGAAGGAAAAATGGGAGTGGATAGAGGAGGAATTGGTGACCAAAAAGTTAGGAAAAAGCCACCTACCATGGTCTTCTCTTGCTACAGATTCCAACGCCCACTCACATATGAAGGCCCCTGGGGAGTCCTGCAGGAAAGCAGCCTGTTCAGCTTCGTGTGACTCTGTATTTTCCAAGTTTACTTGATTACAATTTTTTCTTTATCGTATTTCTTACTATCCATTGGAACATGCTTTGGAGAAATACTATTTTAGTGTCTAGGTTACTTAAAACAATACCACCTAATTAATATAGGCATGTGCTTCTTAGCCAGGGGTCCTCAAACTTTTTAAACAGGGGGCCAGTTCACTGTCCCTCAGACTGTTGGAGAGTGCGCACTGTGGGCCTGGGACGAGTTGGCTACTAAGCAGGACAGGCAGCGGCGGCAAAAACACCCAAAGGGCCAGATAAATGTGCTAGGCGGCCTACATGTGGCCCGTGGGCCGTAGTTTGAGGACGCCTGTCTTAGCTGTCTGGAACCAATTTAGTCTTCTGAAGCCCATGTTCACCCAGTGGCCATAAGCAGACTGCTTTCTTAGGAAAGCCTTGGATAGCAGAATTGGCAGTATTTCTGGCAAAGCTTCTTCTGGAAACTCTGAATTGAGATTATGCCCCTGGAATGAATGTGTCAGCCAAGGAAGAAAATACCAACTTCACTTATCACCTCTTTGAGAAATGCTATATCGGTGTGCTCTGTAGGCAGCTGGTGCTAGATGGAGTTACTCTGTTTTCATTGCTTTCCGCCACACAGGCTCAAACCCTGTCTAGGGGGTCATCCCCCTTTATGTTTCCCTGGGTCACACTGCTGTCAACTCTGTCTCACCACCTGCACATTCAGAATGGTTAGGTCATGGCACATACAAGGTCCCAACGAAGAGAGGATTTAGCAGATTCCTTGATTAATTTTCCAAGTGCCTTGAGGAAGAAGTATCCACTTTAATCATGTTTCACTTACCAGCTTGCTTTTATTTATTTATTTTTAATTTAAAAAGCTTTTATTTTAAAATTAAAAAAATTTAAATTAATTAATGTTTTCTTAGAGATAGGGTCTTGCTATGTTGCCCAGGCTGGTCTTGAACTCCTGGCCTCAAGCGATCCTCTTGCCTCAGCCTCCCAAGTAGCTGAGACTATAGGTGCACACCACCATGCCCAGCTCATTTTTCTATTTTTAGTAGAGACCGTGTCTTGCTCTTGTAAGGCTGGTCTCCAACTCCTGAGCTAAAGCAATCCTGCTTCAGCCTCCCAGAGTGCTAGGATTACAGGTGTGAGCCACCGCGCCCACCCTCGCTTGCTTTTAAAGAGCTACAACTGGTCGGTTAACCGCACCTTTGTGGTCAGAGGCAGAAGATGGCCCTGCCTTCCCTTGTAGGATATTTAAACTAGTCATGATGTAGCTGAGCGGATGTGGAAGTAGGGGCTTTGGGGGAGCAGGAGGAAGCTGGGGAAAGCATGAGTAGCGAGCAGTCTAGTGTGAGGGAAAGTGGACACCATATGTTGTCTCACCATTAAGAAGTCCAGTCCCTTGACTGGTGTGTGCTGCCTGGGATCCCATAAACTAATGGTACTCAAAGTCAGCCAGGGTGCAGCATGGTGGTCCCAGGTGAGAGGTTCACGTCTATAGGACCCCAGCCAGTAGCTGGAGGTACAGAATTAGGGCCAATCCCCAGGGGAAGAGCTGGGCGAGGGGCCAGGATCCCTGCCTTGGTCCTGATGGCCTCAGAAACTTGGCAGCACCGAGTGTGCTTGTGGGAGGCCTCTTTGGCTAAAATAATAGGGCCTAAAAATTAACTGACACAACCTAACATCCAGCGTTATCAGACAGGCTGGAATTGAGCAATTAATGGAATTATTAAGACTGTAGACGCTGATGCCTGACTTCCAGGTTCAGATCCTAGCTCTGCTGCTCACTAGCTGTGTGACCTTCAGCAAGTTGCTCCACCTTCCCGTGTCCCGGTCTCCTCATCAGTAAAACGGGGATTGAAAATAATACCTCCCTCAAAGGGTCATTATGAGGATTAAAGGAGTTAAGATGCGAAAAGCACTTAACAGTGCCTGGCACCAGGTGAGGTGCTGAGTGTTACCTGTTCCTGTTAAATTGTGGGCTCAGAGAACAGATCAGTGATTTTGCTCTGCTGGGCTTCAAGGAAAGGGCCAGAACTTCAGCAAGGCCTCGGGGATCTGAGTGTGAGCTGGATGCACAGTGAGAAGGAGGGAGGGTGCTCCAGGGCAGGTGGGCCACGGCCAAGGCAGGGAGAGAATGGACATAGCCTGCGGGGGACACACGGAGAGCTGGCCTTTGTCCCCCCTCCACCGCCAGACACAGCTGCTTGGGGATAAGGAGGGTTATAGACACCCCCACTCCCAGGCTGACAGGCCCCGATCATGGTTTGCTGCTGTTTTCCAGGTAAAAGGGAGGTGACGGCCAGGCTCACATCTGTGTCCCTAGGTTGCCTGGTCTACCCTGCTGGCCGTCTCTAGTTGCTCCTGGGTGTCTCCCATCCTGTTCTCTTTAGAACAATCACAAAAGTGTCAGTTAAACTGAACATCAGGTTATAACTTTCTTTTTCTGATCACCCAGCTTATTTTTTCTTTCTCTTGTCTACAGGAGAAAAGAAGATTGGGCTCATTCTGGAGAAAAGGGAAACCTTCCCTGAGGTCCTTAAACACGTCTTCCCTTGATAATAATAGTGATAATAGTTTAGTGAAAGTGGGGTAAGAGGAGCGCCCCAAAACTGCCAGGCAAGTACAGCAGAGTGCCCAGAAGTCCCAGGGTCAGAGGCCCCAGCTGCCTGGCCTGTCTGCACCCGGGGCTCTGTGCCGGTCACTGTCCCAGCTTTCCAGGGTAGGACACCACCCTTCTGTGCCAGCCAGGCCACCGGCTCTGCCCACCCTCCATGGTGACTTGGGGATCCAGTTCGTCTCATTATATAATTAGCTAATACCAGGCCAAACAACTGCTTTTTACCCCCTTCCTCATCCCACCCATTCTCATTTTTTTTTAATTTGTTCCTTTACACTTTGGGCTTGAGAAATATACTGGTTTTTGTTAAATTTGTTTTTAAAGTCAATCAACAACCTTCTTCTAATTCTGCCAATGCCCCCTGCCTTGTTCTCAGAACATCCGGTTTCCTCCTGCCTCTTCTTTCTCACCTTCCCCATGTCCTCTTGGGTCATCCTCAGCCTTGTGCTTCTGCACAAAAGCATTGGGGATATTGAGCATCTTGTTCTTCCCAACTCTCACTTCTGATTATGTCCGTCAGTTCTCTCTGCGCCACCTCTGGACCAGTGCAGACCTGTGTGGTGTGGTTCTCAGCCCTAGGTTCAGACATGTCTGTTGTGGAGTCACAGAGCAGCTCAGTGTGTTAAAGACAAACAAACCTCACTGGCATCTAGTAAACCCTCATAGTTTCTAACAGGCTGCTACGACATTCTCTAATTAGCATTAGAGTCCTGGTCGGTCTGACCTCCCAATTCATAATCATTGCTAACATTAAAAAGTAGGTACAAGTTGGTCACAGTGGTGCATGTCTGTAGCCCCAGCTACTCTGGAGGATCGCTTGAGCCCAGGAGTTTGACGCTGCAGTGAGCTATGATCACACCTGTGAATAGCCACTGCACTCCAGCCTGGGCAACATAGTGAGACCCCCATCTCTTAAAAAAAAGCAGTAGGTGCAGTATATACTTGGTGCTGCCCACTTAGCAAGCATGAGGTGCTAAAGTTCTCACTATTGTTGCTAAGTTCTCTGTGAATCTGAGTCAGGTGGTTATTTTCCCTACTCAATCTCTAAAGGAGGTATGTGGTGCTTCTCTGTGCTTGGCACTCTGGGTGAGGAGAAAGGTGCTGAGATGCTCCTAAGGCCAAATACATGACCTGCTTCCCTTTCACGACAGTTTCCAGACATGGTCTCAAGGGCTAAGTCTAGGAACTGGCCCAAATTTTACCCTCTGATGGGAGAAGTGATTCCACCCCAGAAAGAAGTTGCCTCATAAGAATGAAAAGACAACTTCAAAAATGCTGTCAATGGTTGATGAAGCAACCAGTTCAGGTCATACTGGGTAGCCAACCACTCCTGGGTTGAGAAAACCAATAGCTGATAAAAGGAGGAAGCACACCTGAGCCAACTTGCTCATGAGCTGACATATTCAAATGTAGGTACAAAGTGGTTACCTAATTCTTGCACCTGTTCTGACTCAGGTCGCACCAAAGTGCTGGACCAAGATCTAACACGACGTCAGTACCAGCGGCAGAAGCAGAATATTTCATAGTGATACCACCCAAATGGTGCCAGGGAAGGGAGGAGAGAGCCCTTTCTCTAGCGGCAGGGAAGACAGGTTTCCCTGAGGTAGCCTGCAAAATAAATTAGCATGGATCTGACATTTCAAATTTGCCAGCTGTAGATTTTTAAAGTGTATCAGTGGGATTTGAGTTTCATGGTTGCTGCTAAAAAAAAATTTGAGCCAATCACATACTATATACAATTTTCTCTGTTTTAATTACTGCTTAGAAACGAAGTTGCCAGACTTAGGTGCCCAGGAAAAGACAGGAGCACCTGTTTAAGGTGGAGTTCGTATTGATCAAAACCTTTCAGCAGCCTTTAGTCTACATCCAGTGGTTTTAGAGTGATGTGTAATTAGCTGACTTATTTTGTGGTCCATTCTTCATGACTATGTGTTGGGCAGTATCAAAAGAGATTTGCCTTCGGGTGTTTATATACATCTTTAAATTTAGTATCTTAATGGCTTCCATAAAAGGTAACTGAAGAATTTATATTTGCAGAATATGGAAGTGCTTTCAAGCATTTGTGGGAGAAAATCTTGAAAAGATGGTAGATGTTTTCTGTTGTTTTTGTTGTTGTTGTTTTGAGACAGAGTCTCACTCCATTGCCCGGGCTAGAGTGCCATGGCGTCAGCCTAGCTCACAGCAACCTCAAACTCCTGGACTCAAGGATCCTCTTGCCTCAGCCTCCCAAGTAGCTGGGACTACAGGTGAGTACCATGCCTGGCTAAATTTTCTATTTTTAGAAGAGATGGCGTCTCACTCTTGTTCAGGCTGGTCTTGAACTTCTGACCTCAAGTGATCCTCCTGCCTCAATCTCCCAGAGTGCTAGAATTATAGGTGTGAGCCAGCTTGCCTGGATGGTAGACCTGTTTTTAGGAGAGGTGGGAAACAATGGACTTTCTGGAATATAGAACAAAAGATATATGCATCTGCTTTAAGCAGCTTTTTATTAGTGCAATGCATGGCTTAATTTATAAATAGTAAAACCTAAGACTTGGCAGCATTTTAATACTCCAGGGACTGCAGCAAATGTAAAAAGAGCTAACTGGGTTCATGGCAAGATCTAAATGAGTTATAGAATAATTAGAAAACCCAATTAAAAATAAATGTTGACTGAGAGCTGTTCCTGGCAGGGGTGTGTCTGCCACTTGGATGCATCTGAATCATCATCACAGAGTGGGTGAGGACCTGAGTTGGCATCTCCTCCAGCTTCCCCAGCCTCCAGTCTTGGAATCAATTCTTTGACAATCTAGAGGGTTGAACATGCCCAGGACTCCATTGGCAGCCTAGCTCATGGGTGCTTGCCCAGCCCTAAGTTTGTAAAGTCCTCCTGTGGCCTCTAATTGCTGGCCTATTCTCTGGAACTTCCCAGTATGCACCTCCCTTCTACAAGACAGGCTTTCTGATATTTGAAGTCAGATCTCATGTGTCTCCTAATTTGTCCTTTTCCTTTTCAACGTTGCTTCTGTGGATCTGGGTCCTTCTGAGGCTGCTCACTTAATCAAAGAAGATGAACTGGCCATAGAGGAGAGGAGAGGAGAGGAGAGGAGAGGAGAGGAGAGTGAAGGAAGGAAGAGAGGGAGGAGAGAGAGGAGAGGAGAGAGAGGAGAGGAGAGAGAAGAGAAGAGAAGAGAAGAGAAGAGAAGAGAAGAGAAGAGAAGAGAAGAGAAGAGAAGAGAAGAGAAGAGAAGAGAGAAGCTTTAGCTTAGCAAATAGCAGTGCCTGTGCTTCTCCAAAAGGCCCAGGTACACTTTTCCAGGCCAGCACCCAATATCACTCAGCTGTTCCTCCCTGGCAGAGTTTCTAGACCTTTCACAAACCTACAGGACAGTTGTCTGGGTGGCCTTGGACTGACCCAGTTCTCTCCACTTTCTCACTTACAGTTCTCAAGAATGACTGCAGAATGTGCTGGAAATGCAACATCCTGAGAGGGAGGGACCGACTGGAGCAGCCTGAATTCTGTTCCAGTTCCTCCCTAGAAACAGGATGTCCTTCAGTGCTTTGTCCCAGCAACTCATGTTCCCCGGAGCATAAAACCCAGGGCAGGTTACTTTTGGGGGGACCTTCAGCTGCAGTGCAAGCAAAGCATGTACAGGCAAGATTCCATCCACCCCAGGCAGCTTATCTGAGCCTTGAGGGACCAGTTCGCAATGAATCCCAGGCTTCTGTTGTCCCTTACTGCCTATCTGTAAGTAGTCAATAATAAACCAGCTTCATGGGACTTGTGTGTGAGTGTTCTGTCTCAATGGACTCTGAGAAGTTGGTAACCAGTGCTCCTTGAACCTGCTCCATCTGTCCTGGAGGTCACCACTAGGTGGACATAAATTAGCCAATGGTCTTAAAAATGGTGCCTAGTACAGGAATGAAACATGGCAGGCATAGTCTGGCCAGAGGTCCATTCTCTGGGCAGTATACTTCTAGGTGGTTGGAAAAGTTGAGAGATTCATCTACCTCCTTTTGGTTGTAATTTAACATTCCGTGAACATCTTTTACAAATTGTTGTTTTTATTGTGTAAATTACATAATACAGTACGATCACTTCAGAAAACAATTTGACATGGTAAAATTGACACAGCAATTCCATTTTTAGGCATATACTATAGAGGAGACAGGTAAAAGAAAGTTCATAGTAACATTGTCTTTAATAGCAACAGAAACAAACAAATAAACAAAAGCGGAAACATCCCAAATGTCCAATGATAGAAAAATGAGTAAATATATTGTATGTTCATTTTTTCTCTACTTCTTTATTGTAGTAAAATGCAATTTAAAATTTACTGCTTTAACCTTTTTTTTTTTTTTTTTTTTTTGAGACAGAGTCTCACTTTGTTGCCCAGGCTTCTGTGCGTTCCTTCATTAATGAGTAACATACACCTGGGCTCGAGAGATCCTTCTGCCTCAGCCTCCCGGGTAGCTGGGACTACAGGCATGCGCCACCATGCCCGGCTAATTTTTTATATATATATCAGTTGACCAATTAATTTCTTTCTATTTATAGTAGAGACGGGGTCTCGCTCTTGCTCAGGCTGGTTTTGACCTCCTGCCCTTGAGCAATCCGCCCGCCTCGGCCTCCCAAGAGCTAGGATTACAGGCGTGAGCCACAGCGCCCGGCCTTTTTTTTTTGAGACAAGGTTTCACTCTGTCACCCAGGTTGGAGCACAGTGAAACCATCATAGCTCATAGCAGCCTCAAACTCCTGGGCTCACATGATCCTCATGC